CCCCTACGTTTGCACCTGCCCTGCCCACCCCTACATACACCACCCCTTACATACACTGCCCTGGCTCCCACTCTGGTCAACATCTTGACATACGTATTTCAGGAGGACGGCCCCGGACCACCTGGATCATCTAGATCCCCCTCCCTCTGGCGGCAAGGCGAAAACATGAGCGTAATCGGAAGGGTGATGGCAGAAAGCTTGCTTGTGATTGATTAATAAGCAGAGATGGGGTACAAGAGAGGGGAAAAGCCCCCTAAAATCCTGAAAAAACCCCCCCACAGCCCCCCTAAGGCCCCCCTAAGGCCCCCCTACCCCCCAATTCTCCTCACAGCCCCTCACAGCCCCCCTCGAACCGCCCTAGAAATCCCTGGGCATGACCCACGCATATCTGCTCCCTGTCATATCACATTCCTGCTTCTGCTTCTACTTTGTGCTTCCTATCTATCATATCCCTCCCGGACATGGCATGGCATGGCATGGCATGGCCAACCAGGGAGGGGCGCACAGCACAGAGAGCCAGGAGCGCATCCACCACTCCCTCTTCTGTTCTGCTTCTGCTCCCCACTCCCCTCCCTTTTCCCTCGCCCCTCCCCCCTTTCTCTGCCCGCCTGCGTATATAATAACAAGCACATACATTCATATTCGCTAGGTCATCAAATCTATAAGTCATCTATCACTCTACGCGTCGTAGCAAATAGCCTCATGTTGTCGACAGGAGAAAATGGCACATGCGCTCCCTCCTTGTGCGTCTGTTTCTCTCTCTTCTTCTCCCTCATGTCATGCCCTGCGCATGGCTGAACACAAGCAGGTGGCAACGCATCTACTCCCTGTTTCCGTTTCTGCCACTCTTTCATATCCCAAACCTGGCCCAAACCAAACCTGCACTCCCCCCCTCCCCCTGCATATATACTAACAAGCACATACATTTATGTTCCTAACGTAATCAGATTCATCAATCCCTACCACTCTACACATTGCAAGCCAAGTGTCTTCGTCTTGGCGACAGGAGGGAAGCTGGCACCTGCGCAAGGGGAGGGGGGGAGTTGGGGTTGGGGAGAGGGGAAGCGGAGCAAGTGAGCGGGGGGAGCAGGGCAAGTGAGGGGATGGCAGGAGGTGTGAGGGCATGGTGGGATGGCAGGTGTGAGGGATATGGCAAGGTGTGCAGTGCATGCTCTGGGGCGACTCACAACGCACCTGATGCTGGTTTGGTGGGCCATGCGGCATGGCATGGCGCTGCGCTCCCTCCTCCTGCTTCTGTTTCTCTCCCTTGTTCTCTCTCATGTCCCGCGCATGGATGAACAGGGACGGCCACACAAGCAGCTGGCAACGCATCTGCTCCCTGTGCAAAGTATCTTCATCTTGGCGACAGGAGAAACTGGCACCTGCGCAAGGGGAGGGGAGGAGTTGGGGTGGGGGAGCAGAGCAAGTGAGCGGGGGGAGCAGGGCAAGTGAGCGGGGGGAGCACCCTAAACCCCCTTACCCCCTTACCTGGCAGGAAATGAAAGTCACCATGCAGGGAATGCAAATCCACCTGCCAGGGCATGAACAGGCACCATGCAGGGCATGAGAAGGCACCGTGCAACACGCGAAGGCACCTTGCAGGGCATGAGAAGGCACCTGGAAGAAGGGGGAAAGTGGGGAAAGAGGGGAGGGGGTGGGTGAGACAGGCTCAAATGGGCAGGCGCTGCACTGGCAGCTGGCAGAAAGGGGAGGGGAGAGGGTGGCTTGGACGTCTCACAGTTCCCCATGCCCCCTTACACCCCCCCCTTGAGCAAAGAATGCACACAGGAACAACAAACAAGCAAGCAAAACAAACTAAAACAAACAAACAAACAAACAAACAAACAGGAAATTTTGGGATGGAAAGAGGGGACGGGGTGAGTGAGACCTCTTCAATCAACATGCGCTGCACTGGCACCTGCTGGAAACGGGAGGACAGAGGGGAGGTGTTGAGTGTGACACCTCAAAACATTATGCCTTGCACTGGCACCTGCTGGAAAGGGGAGGAAAATGGCATCATGCAAGGAATGAGAAGGCATCATGCAGGGAACGGCAAGGCACCTTGAGGGAATGAGAAGGCACATGATTTTTATGTGCCCTAGTACATTGTTTTGCTTTTGTGTTCATACATTCATGCATCGTTCTGGTTCGCTCTTACCACGTGGGCGTGCGCGTCAGCCTGCCCCACCCCGTGCTCCACTGTCACGCCCCGCTGGCAACTGCTGAAACACGGGGAGGGAGGGAGGGAGGGAGGGAGGGAGGGAGGAGAGGGGAGGGGAGGGGAGATGAGGCATTGGTCAAATGACTCAAAACAGAGGGGAGAGAGGAGGGGATTGGTCAAATGACTCAAAACAAAGAGGAGAGAGGAGGGAATTGGTTAAATGAGTCAAAACGAATAGGAGAGAGGAGGGGATTGGTCAAATGACTCAAAACAAAGAGGAGAGAGGAGGGGATTGGTCAAATGACTCAAAACAGAGGGGAGAGAGGAGGGGATTGGTCAAATGGCTCAAAACAAAGAGGAGAGAGGAGGGGATTGGTCAAATGACTCAAAACAAAGGGGAGAGAGGAGGGGATTGGTGAAATGACTCAAAACAAAGAGGAGAGAGAAGGATTGGTCAAATGGCTCAAAACAGAGGGGAGAGAGGAGGGGATTGGTCAAATGACTCAAAACAAAGAGGAGAGAGGAAGGTATTGGTCAAATTACTCAAAACAAAGGGGAGAGAGGAGGGGATTGGTCAAATGGCTCAAAACAGAGGGGAAAGAAGAGGGGATTGGTCAAATGACTCAGAACGGAGGGGAGATAGGAGGGGATTGGTCAAATGATTCAAAACAGAGGGGAGAGAGGAGGGGATTGGTCAAATGACTCAAAACAAAGAGGAGAGAGGAGGGGATTGGTGAAAAGACTCAAAACTGAGGGGAGAGAGGAGGGGATTGGTCAAATGAGTCAAAACAAAGAGGAGAGAGGAGGGGATAGGTGAAATGACTCAAAACAGAGAGAGAGGAGGGGATTGGTCAAATGACTCAAAACAGAGAAGAGAGAGGAGGGGATTGGTCAAATGACTCAAAACAAAGAGGAGAGAGGAGGGGATTGGTCAAATGACTCAAAACTGAGGGGAGAGAGGAGGGGATTGGTCAAATGACTCAAAACAAAGAGGAGAGAGAGGAGGGGATTGGTGAAATGACTCGAAACAAAGAGAAGAGAGGAGGGAATTGGTTAAATGACTCAAAACGAATAGGAGAGATGAGGGGATTGGTCAAATGACTCAAAACAGAGGGGAGAGAGTAGGGAATTGGTCAAATGACTCAAAACAGGGGGAAGAGAGGAGGGGATTGGTCAAATGACTCAAAACAAAGAGGAGAGAGGAGGGGATTGGTCAAATGACTCAAAACAGAGGGGAGAGAGTAGGGGATTGGTCAAATGACTCAAAACAGGGGGAAGAGAGGAGGGGATTGGTCAAATGACTCAAAACCAAAAGGAGAGAGGAGGGGATTGGTCAATGACTCAAAACAGAGGGGAGAGAGGAGGGGATTGGTCAAATGGCTCAAAACAAAGAGGAGAGAGGAGGGGATTGGTCAAATGACTCAAAACAAAGGGGACAGAGGAGGGGATTGGTCAAATGACTCACAACGCACCCGGGGCTGGTTTGGTGGGCCATGCGGCATGGCATGGCGCTGCGCTCCCTCCTCCTGCTTCTGTTTCTCTCCCTTGTTCTCTCTCATGTCCCGCGCATGGATGAACAGGGACGGCCACACAAGCAGCTGGCAACGCATCTGCTCCCTGTGCAAAGTATCTTCATCTTGGCGACAGGAGAAACTGGCACCTGCGCAAGGGGAGGGGAGGAGTTGGGGTGGGGGAGCAGAGCAAGTGAGCGGGGGGAGCAGGGCAAGTGAGCGGGGAGAGCACCCTAAACCCCCTTACCCCCTTACCTGGCAGGAAATGAAAGTCACCATGCAGGGAATGCGAATGCACCTCGCAGGGCATGCCAAGGCACCATGCAGGGCATGAGAATTTACCGGGCAGGGCATGAGAAGGCACCATGCAGGGCATGGGAAGGCACCTGGCAGAAGGGGGGAAGTGGGGAAAGAGGGGAGGGGGTGGGTGAGACATGCTCAAATGGGCAAGCGCTGCACTGGTACCTGGCAGAAAGGGGAGGGGAGAGGGTGGCCTGGATGTCTCAACGTTCCCCAGAGCGCCATGAGCAGCGCCGTCGTTGTCGTTGGCGTGTCAGCGGCATGGCAATCGGCGGCGTGACAGCGGCGTGGCATCGGCGCCCTGAAGCGGAGCTAAACGGAAATCGCCATGTTTGGTGGCAGATTTTGGATGTGGAATGCCGCATTGCTGCTGGCTCCTGGAACGGCAGATGACGAGCTTGTGCTGGCTGCAGCGTGCCTGCCATGACCATGCACACGTCAGCACGAACAAGGACAAGCAGAAATCGGAACAAACGGAGCTAAGAAGAGGGAATCTACGAAGAAAACGAAATTACTGGAAACAAGACTGAAGATAGCGTGAGTAAGAAAGCGGGCTTACGAAATACTAATGCCATGGCCCATGGCGGATGGCGATCCAAAAGAGAGGCTGCGCTCTTGAGTAGAATGGCTTGAGATTGAAACGAGATCTGGAAAAAAAAAAAATAGCAAACGAAATCACGAAAAACGAAACTACGATAGCGTGACTGCGACTAAGAAAGCAGGCTTACGAAATGGTGATGCCATGCCCCATGGCGGAGGGTGATCTAGAAGAGAGGCTCGGATGTTGAGTTGAGATAGAGTGGCGGATGATAAGAATCGAGGTCTGAAAAACGGGAGTGGGAGTTAGGTGAGCGATTGTGAGCCCAGCCCACTCACATCACGTTTCGTGCACCTTCTGGCTTGCTTGGTCCCCCTGAACGAACGTGGGTTCGTGGTGCAAAGTGGATGTACTGAAGTAGCGTTCTGCACAGTGCTACGTCGGCAGCGCAGTGACAAAGTCGGAAAGTCGGTTTGGGTGCCCTGCGTATATGCAGTCCGACACTCCGATACAGCGAGTGCGACCCAAAGTGAATGTGCCAGCATTTACAGTGACAAATTCGCAGCGCGAATAGGTTTCGCTCGTCAGCTGTGCCCAAAACGAGAACAGCAAAACAGTATCTTGCAAAACTACAGCTTTCCACATGGCAGTAAACAGAATTGATTTTGCTGATTTACAAGCTACACATGTTAGTTGACAAATCTATTTGTGTAATCTGGAGCTTATGCATGTAGGTCAACAAATCAATGACAAATTAGCTCTGGAATAATGAGCTGAATATTAAGGAACGTGCGCATCTGCATGCGTATACGCATGAAAACTCGCATGTCTGGTACCTACCTGTTTAACCTAGATGCGCGTAGACATACGTATGCATGCGTACGTATGCCTTCATGCACGTAGTGCGTCTACCTACCGTACACACTCGTACGCGACGCATATGTACATAACCGTACATGCACCAACGCGTACGCACTCGTACGACCGACCTTTTTCTTTGCCCGCGCAAAGAGAGCCGTTGATATCGTCTCGCCGGGGACAATCTCTCTTGCTCGACTGATCGTCAAGTGTGACCGATTTTCGCCATTCAGCACCGTGGTTACGCCAACAGATTGATTGGTTGGATGCTGACCGGGACAAGCTTCACTTCCACCATTGGGCTGGGATAGAAAGAGAGAGACACGAAGGGCAGCGAGCGACATAGAGGGAGTGATGGAGGTGCAAGGAAGAGAAAGGGTGTTGAGCCTCAGTTGTTAAGGAGGTTTAGGGGGTGCAGAGATGCCCGAGAGCAGGTGAGTGGTGCAGCAGAGCAGGTGAGTGGTGCAGCAGAGCAGGTGAGTGGTGCAGCAGAGCAGGTGAGTGGTGCAGCAGAGCAGGTGAGTGGTGCAGCAGAGCAGGTGAGTGGTGCAGCAGAGCAGGTGAGTGGTGCGGCAGAGCAGGTGAGTGGTGCAGCAGAGCAGGTGAGTGGTGCGGCAGAGCAGGTGAGTGGTGCGGCAGAGCAGGTGAGTGGTGCAGCAGAGCAGGTGAGTGGTTCGACAGAGCAGGTGAGTGGTGCAGCAGAGCAGGTGAGTGGTGCAGCAGAGCAGGTGAGTGGTGCGGCAGAGCAGGTGAGTGGTGCGGCAGAGCAGGTGAGTGGTGCGGCAGAGCAGGTGAGTGGTGCGGCAGAGCAGGTGAGTGGTGCAGCAGAGCAGGTGAGTGGTGCGGCAGAGCAGGTGAGTGGTGCAGCAGAGCAGGTGAGTGGTGCGGCAGAGCAGGTGAGTGGTGCGGCAGAGCAGGTGAGTGGTGCGGCAGAGCAGGTGAGTGGTGCGGCAGAGCAGGTGAGTGGTGCGGCAGAGCAGGTGAGTGGTGCGACAGAGCAGGTGAGTGGTGCGGCAGAGCAGGTGAGTGGTGCAGCAGAGCAGGTGAGTGGTGCGGTAGAGGAGGTGAGTGGTGCAGCAGAGCAGGTGAGTGGTGCGGCAGAGCAGGTGAGTGGTTCGGCAGAGCAGGTGAGTGGTGCGGCAGAGCAGGTGAGTGGTGCGGCAGAGCAGGTGAGTGGTGCGGAAGAGCAGGTGAGTGGTGCAGCAGAGCAGGTGAGTGGTGCGGCAGAGCAGGTGAGTGGTGCAGCAGAGCAGGTGAGTGGTGCAGCAGAGCAGGTGAGTGGTGCAGCAGAGCAGGTGAGTGGTGCGGCAGAGCAGGTGAGTGGTGCGGCAGATCAGGTGAGTGGTGCAGCAGAGCAGGTGAGTGGTGCAGCAGAGCAGGTGAGTGGTGCAGCAGAGCAGGTGAGTGGTGCAGCAGAGCAGGTGAGTGGTGCAGCAGAGCAGGTGAGTGGTGCAGCAGAGCAGGTGAGTGGTGCAGCAGAGCAGGTGAGTGGTGCAGCAGAGCAGGTGAGTGGTGCAGCAGAGCAGGTGAGTGGTGCGGCAGAGCAGGTGAGTGGTGCGGCAGAGCAGGTGAGTGGTGCAGCAGAGCAGGTGAGTGGTGCAGCAGAGCAGGTGAGTGGTGCGGCAGAGCAGGTGAGTGGTGCGGGGTGCGGCAGAGCAGGTGAGTGGTGCGGCAGAGCAGGTGAGTGGTGCGGCAGAGCAGGTGAGTGGTGCAGCAGAGCAGGTGAGTGGTGCGGCAGAGCAGGTGAGTGGTGCGGCAGAGCAGGTTAGTGGTGCAGCAGAGCAGGTGAGTGGTGCGGCAGAGCAGGTGAGTGGTGCGGCAGAGCAGGTGAGTGGTGCGGCAGAGCAGGTGAGTGGTGCGGCAGAGCAGGTGAGTGGTGCAGCAGAGCAGGTCAGTGGTGCAGCAGAGCAGGTGAGTGGTGCGGCAGAGCAGGTGAGTGGTGCAGCAGAGCAGGTGAGTGGTGCGGCAGAGCAGGTGAGTGGTGCGGCAGAGCAGGTGAGTGGTGCAGCAGAGCAGGTGAGTGGTGCGGCAGAGCAGGTGAGTGGTGCGGCAGAGCAGGTGAGTGGTGCGGCAGAGCAGGTGAGTGGTGCGGCAGAGCAGGTGAGTGGTGCGGCAGAGCAGGTGAGTGGTGCAGCAGAGCAGGTGAGTGGTGCGGCAGAGCAGGTGGGTGGTGCGGCAGAGCAGGTGAGTGGTGCGGCAGAGCAGGTGAGTGGTGCGGCAGAGCAGGTGGGTGGTGCGGCAGAGCAGGTGAGTGGTGCGGCAGAGCAGGTGAGTGGTGCAGCAGAGCAGGTGAGTGGTGCGGCAGAGCAGGTGAGTGGTGCGGCAGAGCAGTTGAGTGGTGCGGCAGAGCAGGTGAGTGGTGCGGCAGAGCAGGTGGGTGGTGCGGCAGAGCAGGTGAGTGGTGCGGCAGAGCAGGTGAGTGGTGCGGCAGAGCAGGTGAGTGGTGCGGCAGAGCAGGTGAGTGGTGCGGCAGAGCAGGTGAGTGGTGCAGCAGAGCAGGTGAGTGGTGCGGCAGAGCAGGTGAGTGGTGCGGCAGAGCAGGTGAGTGGTGCGGCAGAGCAGGTGAGTGGTGCAGCAGAGCAGGTGAGTGGTGCAGCAGAGCAGGTGAGTGGTGCAGCAGAGCAGGTGAGTGGTGCGGCAGAGCAGGTGAGTGGTGCGGCAGAGCAGGTGAGTGGTGCAGCAGAGCAGGTGAGTGGTGCAGCAGAGCAGGTGAGTGGTGCGGCAGAGCAGGTGAGTGGTGCGGCAGAGCAGGTGAGTGGTGCGGCAGAGCAGGTGAGTGGTGCGGCAGAGCAGGTGAGTGGTGCAGCAGAGCAGGTGAGTGGTGCAGCAGAGCAGGTGAGTGGTGCGGCAGAGCAGGTGAGTGGTGCGGCAGAGCAGGTGAGTGGTGCGGCAGAGCAGGTGAGTGGTGCGGCAGAGCAGGTGAGTGGTGCGGCAGAGCAGGTGAGTGGTGCGGCACGGCAGAGCAGGTGAGTGGTGCGGCAGAGCAGGTGAGTGGTGCGGCAGAGCAGGTGAGTGGTGCGGCAGAGCAGGTGAGTGGTGCGGCAGAGCAGGTGAGTGGTGCGGCAGAGCAGGTGAGTGGTGCGGCAGAGCAGGTGAGTGGTGCGGCAGAGCAGGTGAGTGGTGCGGCAGAGCAGGTGAGTGGTGCGGCAGAGCAGGTGAGTGGTGCGGCAGAGCAGGTGAGTGGTGCGGCAGAGCAGGTGAGTGGTGCGGCAGAGCAGGTGAGTGGTGCGGCAGAGCAGGTGAGTGGTGCGGCAGAGCAGGTGAGTGGTGCGGCAGAGCAGGTGAGTGGTGCGGCAGAGCAGGTGAGTGGTGCGGCAGAGCAGGTGAGTGGTGCGGCAGAGCAGGTGAGTGGTGCGGCAGAGCAGGTGAGTGGTGCGGCAGAGCAGGTGAGTGGTGCGGCAGAGCAGGTGAGTGGTGCGGCAGAGCAGGTGAGTGGTGCGGCAGAGCAGGTGAGTGGTGCGGCAGAGCAGGTGAGTGGTGCGGCAGAGCAGGTGAGTGGTGCGGCAGAGCAGGTGAGTGGTGCGGCAGAGCAGGTGAGTGGTGCGGCAGAGCAGGTGAGTGGTGCGGCAGAGCAGGTGAGTGGTGCGGCAGAGCAGGTGAGTGGTGCGGCAGAGCAGGTGAGTGGTGCAGCAGAGCAGGTGAGTGGTGCAGCAGAGCAGGTGAGTGGTGCAGCAGAGCAGGTGAGTGGTGCGGCAGAGCAGGTGAGTGGTGCGGCAGAGCAGGTGAGTGGTGCAGCAGAGCAGGTGAGTGGTGCAGCAGAGCAGGTGAGTGGTGCGGCAGAGCAGGTGAGTGGTGCGGCAGAGCAGGTGAGTGGTGCGGCAGAGCAGGTGAGTGGTGCGGCAGAGCAGGTGAGTGGTGCAGCAGAGCAGGTGAGTGGTGCGGCAGAGCAGGTGAGTGGTGCGGCAGAGCAGGTGAGTGGTGCGGCAGAGCAGGTGAGTGGTGCGGCAGAGCAGGTGAGTGGTGCGGCAGAGCAGGTGAGTGGTGCAGCAGAGCAGGTGAGTGGTGCGGCAGAGCAGGTGAGTGGTGCAGCAGAGCAGCTGAGTGGTGCGGCAGAGCAGGTGAGTGGTGCAGCAGAGCAGGTGAGTGGTGCGGCAGAGCAGGTGAGTGGTGCGGCAGAGCAGGTGAGTGGTGCGGCAGAGCAGGTGAGTGGTGCAGCAGAGCAGGTGAGTGGTGCGGCAGAGCAGGTGAGTTGTGCGGCAGAGCAGGTGAGTGGTGCGGCAGAGCAGGTGAGTGGTGCGGCAGAGCAGGTGAGTGGTGCAGCAGAGCTGGTGAGTGGTGCAGCAGAGCAGGTGAGTGGTGCAGCAGAGCAGGTGAGTGGTGCGGCAGAGCAGGTGAGTGGTGCGGCAGAGCAGGTGAGTGGTGCGGCAGAGCAGGTGAGTGGTGCGGCAGAGCAGGTGAGTGGTGCGGCAGAGCAGGTGAGTGGTGCGGCAGAGCAGGTGAGTGGTGCGGCAGAGCAGGTGAGTGGTGCGGCAGAGCAGGTGAGTGGTGCGGCAGAGCAGGTGAGTGGTGCGGCAGAGCAGGTGAGTGGTGCGGCAGAGCAGGTGAGTGGTGCGGCAAAGCAGGTGAGTGGTGCGGCAGAGCAGGTGAGTGGTGCGGCAGAGCAGGTGAGTGGTGCGGCAGAGCAGGTGAGTGGTGCGGCAGAGCAGGTGAGTGGTGCGGCAGAGCAGGTGAGTGGTGCGGCAGAGCAGGTGAGTGGTGCAGCAGAGCAGGTGAGTGGTGCGGCAGAGCAGGTGACTGGTGCGGCAGAGCAGGTGAGTGGTGCGGCAGAGCAGGTGAGTGGTGCGGCAGAGCAGGTGAGTGGTGCGGCAGAGCAGGTGAGTGGTGCGGCAGAGCAGGTGAGTGGTGCGGCAGAGCAGGTGAGTGGTGCGGCAGAGCAGGTGAGTGGTGCGGCAGAGCAGGTGAGTGGTGCGGCAGAGCAGGTGAGTGGTGCGGCAGAGCAGGTGAGTGGTGCGGCAGAGCAGGTGAGTGGTGCGGCAGAGCAGGTGAGTGGTGCGGCAGAGCAGGTGAGTGGTGCGGCAGAGCAGGTGAGTGGTGCGGCAGAGCAGGTGAGTGGTGCGGCAGAGCAGGTGAGTGGTGCGGCAGAGCAGGTGAGTGGTGCGGCAGAGCAGGTGAGTGGTGCGGCAGAGCAGGTGAGTGGTGCGGCAGAGCAGGTGAGTGGTGCGGCAGAGCAGGTGAGTGGTGCGGCAGAGCAGGTGAGTGGTGCGGCAGAGCAGGTGAGTGGTGCGGCAGAGCAGGTGAGTGGTGCGGCAGAGCAGGTGAGTGGTGCGGCAGAGCAGGTGAGTGGTGCGGCAGAGCAGGTGAGTGGTGCGGCAGAGCAGGTGAGTGGTGCGGCAGAGCAGGTGAGTGGTGCGGCAGAGCAGGTGAGTGGTGCGGCAGAGCAGGTGAGTGGTGCGGCAGAGCAGGTGAGTGGTGCGGCAGAGCAGGTGAGTGGTGCGGCAGAGCAGGTGAGTGGTGCGGCAGAGCAGGTGAGTGATGCGGCAGAGCAGGTGAGTGGTGCGGCAGAGCAGGTGAGTGGTGCGGCAGAGCAGGTGAGTGGTGCGGCAGAGCAGGTGAGTGGTGCGGCAGAGCAGGTGAGTGGTGCGGCAGAGCAGGTGAGTGGTGCGGCAGAGCAGGTGAGTGGTGCGGCAGAGCAGGTGAGTGGTGCGGCAGAGCAGGTGAGTGGTGCGGCAGAGCAGGTGAGTGGTGCGGCAGAGCAGGTGAGTGGTGCGGCAGAGCAGGTGAGTGGTGCGGCAGAGCAGGTGAGTGGTGCGGCAGAGCAGGTGAGTGGTGCGGCAGAGCAGGTGAGTGGTGCGGCAGAGCAGGTGAGTGGTGCGGCAGAGCAGGTGAGTGGTGCAGCAGAGCAGGTGAGTGGTGCGGCAGAGCAGGTGAGTGGTGCAGCAGAGCAGGTGAGTTGTGCGGCAGAGCATCACATGGCAGCATTGCTGCTTGGATGGTCTCATGTAATCCGTTGCCGCATGGCAAGCATCTCATTGCGTCTCAGTCCTACATTCGAACCCACATGCCATCCCACATGGAGGGAACAGGAGATTTGATGACAGCATTGCTGCTTGGATGGTCACATGTGAGTGGGGCAGTTGCAGCACGGTGCTGCATCTCACAGTGCTGGTTACATTTCACAGTGCTGGTTACATTTCACAGTGCTGGTTACATTTCACAGTGCTGGTTACATCTCACAGTGCTAGTTACATTTCACAGTGCTGGTTACATCTCACAGTGCTGGTTACATCTCACAGTGCTGGTTACATCTCACAGTGCTGGTAACATCTCACAGTGCTGGTTACATCTCACAGTGCTGGTTACATCTGACAGTGCTGGTTACATCTCACAGTGCAGTGCTGGTTACATCTGATAGTGCTGGTTACATCTCACAGTGCTGGTTACATCTCACAGTGTTACATCTCACAGTGCTGGTTACATCTCACTCTTCTGGTTACATTGAGTCATTGACTCAATCTGCTCCTCATTCTCTCAGCTCCTCTCCTTCCATTCTCTCCCTCACACACTTTCCTTTCCCCCCTCTCTCCCTCTTTCCCTCCCTCCTTCCCTCCCTCTCTCCCTCTTTCCCTCCCTCCTTCCCTACATTGACTCAATCTGCTCCTTATTCTCTCAGCTCCTCTCCTTCCATTCTCTCCCTCACACACTTTCCATCCTCCCTCTCTCCCTCTTTCCCTCCCTCCTTCCCTCCCTCTCTCCCTCTTTCCCTCCCTCCTTCCCTCCCTCTCTCCCTCCTTTCATCAGAAGTATCCTCACGACTTGGCTAGAGCAGCGGAGCTAGCAGTGGCATCCCTACAGGTGAGCAGCTGCTGTTGCGCCTCGTGCTTGTGTTTGTTGATGCTCTGCTGTGTTTTCAATGTTTGTCTAGCTTTTCTGTTTCAACAGCAGAGCTGGCAGTGGCACTGGGCTGTCCATGGCTTTGTGTTTAAAAGAGATGTGGTGCAGCAGAGCAGGTGAGTGGTGCGGCAGAGCAGGTGAGTGGTGCGGCAGAGCAGGTGAGTGGTGCGGCAGAGCAGGTGAGTGGTGCGGCAGAGCAGGTGAGTGGTGCAGCAGAGCAGGTGAGTGGTGCGGCAGAGCAGGTGAGTGGTGCAGCAGAGCAGGTGAGTGGTGCGACAGAGCAGGTGAGTGGTGCAGCAGAGCAGGTGAGTGGTGCGGCAGAGCAGGTGAGTGGTGCGGCAGAGCAGGTGAGTGGTGCGGCAGAGCAGGTGAGTGGTGCAGCAGAGCAGGTGAGTGGTGCGGCAGAGCAGGTGAGTGGTGCAGCAGAGCAGCTGAGTGGTGCGGCAGAGCAGGTGAGTGGTGCAGCAGAGCAGGTGAGTGGTGCGGCAGAGCAGGTGAGTGGTGCGGCAGAGCAGGTGAGTGGTGCGGCAGAGCAGGTGAGTGGTGCAGCAGAGCAGGTGAGTGGTGCGGCAGAGCAGGTGAGTTGTGCGGCAGAGCAGGTGAGTGGTGCGGCAGAGCAGGTGAGTGGTGCGGCAGAGCAGGTGAGTGGTGCAGCAGAGCTGGTGAGTGGTGCAGCAGAGCAGGTGAGTGGTGCGGCAGAGCAGGTGAGTGGTGCGGCAGAGCAGGTGAGTGGTGCGGCAGAGCAGGTGAGTGGTGCGGCAGAGCAGGTGAGTGGTGCGGCAGAGCAGGTGAGTGGTGTGGCAGAGCTGGTGAGTGGTGCGGCAGAGCAGGTGAGTGGTGCGGCAGAGCAGGTGAGTGGTGCGGCAGAGCAGGTGAGTGGTGCGGCAGAGCAGGTGAGTGGTGCGGCAGAGCAGGTGAGTGGTGCGGCAAAGCAGGTGAGTGGTGCGGCAGAGCAGGTGAGTGGTGCGGCAGAGCAGGTGAGTGGTGCGGCAGAGCAGGTGAGTGGTGCGGCAGAGCAGGTGAGTGGTGCGGCAGAGCAGGTGAGTGGTGCGGCAGAGCAGGTGAGTGGTGCAGGCAGAGCAGGTGAGTGGTGCGGCAGAGCAGGTGACTGGTGCGGCAGAGCAGGTGAGTGGTGCGGCAGAGCAGGTGAGTGGTGCGGCAGAGCAGGTGAGTGGTGCGGCAGAGCAGGTGAGTGGTGCGGCAGAGCAGGTGAGTGGTGCGGCAGAGCAGGTGAGTGGTGCGGCAGAGCAGGTGAGTGGTGCGGCAGAGCAGGTGAGTGGTGCGGCAGAGCAGGTGAGTGGTGCGGCAGAGCAGGTGAGTGGTGCGGCAGAGCAGGTGAGTGGTGCGGCAGAGCAGGTGAGTGGTGCGGCAGAGCAGGTGAGTGGTGCGGCAGAGCAGGTGAGTGGTGCGGCAGAGCAGGTGAGTGGTGCGGCAGAGCAGGTGAGTGGTGCGGCAGAGCAGGTGAGTGGTGCGGCAGAGCAGGTGAGTGGTGCGGCAGAGCAGGTGAGTGGTGCGGCAGAGCAGGTGAGTGGTGCGGCAGAGCAGGTGAGTGGTGCGGCAGAGCAGGTGAGTGGTGCGGCAGAGCAGGTGAGTGGTGCGGCAGAGCAGGTGAGTGGTGCGGCAGAGCAGGTGAGTGGTGCGGCAGAGCAGGTGAGTGGTGCGGCAGAGCAGGTGAGTGGTGCGGCAGAGCAGGTGAGTGGTGCGGCAGAGCAGGTGAGTGGTGCGGCAGAGCAGGTGAGTGGTGCGGCAGAGCAGGTGAGTGGTGCGGCAGAGCAGGTGAGTGGTGCGGCAGAGCAGGTGAGTGGTGCGGCAGAGCAGGTGAGTGGTGCGGCAGAGCAGGTGAGTGGTGCGGCAGAGCAGGTGAGTGGTGCGGCAGAGCAGGTGAGTGGTGCGGCAGAGCAGGTGAGTGGTGCGGCAGAGCAGGTGAGTGATGCGGCAGAGCAGGTGAGTGGTGCGGCAGAGCAGGTGAGTGGTGCGGCAGAGCAGGTGAGTGGTGCGGCAGAGCAGGTGAGTGGTGCGGCAGAGCAGGTGAGTGGTGCGGCAGAGCAGGTGAGTGGTGCGGCAGAGCAGGTGAGTGGTGCGGCAGAGCAGGTGAGTGGTGCGGCAGAGCAGGTGAGTGGTGCGGCAGAGCAGGTGAGTGGTGCGGCAGAGCAGGTGAGTGGTGCGGCAGAGCAGGTGAGTGGTGCGGCAGAGCAGGTGAGTGGTGCGGCAGAGCAGGTGAGTGGTGCGGCAGAGCAGGTGAGTGGTGCGGCAGAGCAGGTGAGTGGTGCAGCAGAGCAGGTGAGTGGTGCGGCAGAGCAGGTGAGTGGTGCAGCAGAGCAGGTGAGTTGTGCGGCAGAGCATCACATGGCAGCATTGCTGCTTGGATGGTCTCATGTAATCCGTTGCCGCATGGCAAGCATCTCATTGCGTCTCAGTCCTACATTCGAACCCACATGCCATCCCACATGGAGGGAACAGGAGATTTGATGACAGCATTGCTGCTTGGATGGTCACATGTGAGTGGGGCAGTTGCAGCACGGTGCTGCATCTCACAGTGCTGGTTACATTTCACAGTGCTGGTTACATTTCACAGTGCTGGTTACATTTCACAGTGCTGGTTACATCTCACAGTGCTAGTTACATTTCACAGTGCTGGTTACATCTCACAGTGCTGGTTACATCTCACAGTGCTGGTTACATCTCACAGTGCTGGTAACATCTCACAGTGCTGGTTACATCTCACAGTGCTGGTTACATCTGACAGTGCTGGTTACATCTCACAGTGCAGTGCTGGTTACATCTGATAGTGCTGGTTACATCTCACAGTGCTGGTTACATCTCACAGTGTTACATCTCACAGTGCTGGTTACATCTCACTCTTCTGGTTACATTGAGTCATTGACTCAATCTGCTCCTCATTCTCTCAGCTCCTCTCCTTCCATTCTCTCCCTCACACACTTTCCTTTCCCCCCTCTCTCCCTCTTTCCCTCCCTCCTTCCCTCCCTCTCTCCCTCTTTCCCTCCCTCCTTCCCTACATTGACTCAATCTGCTCCTTATTCTCTCAGCTCCTCTCCTTCCATTCTCTCCCTCACACACTTTCCATCCTCCCTCTCTCCCTCTTTCCCTCCCTCCTTCCCTCCCTCTCTCCCTCTTTCCCTCCCTCCTTCCCTCCCTCTCTCCCTCCTTTCATCAGAAGTATCCTCACGACTTGGCTAGAGCAGCGGAGCTAGCAGTGGCATCCCTACAGGTGAGCAGCTGCTGTTGCGCCTCGTGCTTGTGTTTGTTGATGCTCTGCTGTGTTTTCAATGTTTGTCTAGCTTTTCTGTTTCAACAGCAGAGCTGGCAGTGGCACTGGGCTGTCCATGGCTTTGTGTTTAAAAGAGATGTGGTGCAGCAGAGCAGGTGAGTGGTGCGGCAGAGCAGGTGAGTGGTGCGGCAGAGCAGGTGAGTGGTGCGGCAGAGCAGGTGAGTGGTGCGGCAGAGCAGGTGAGTGGTGCAGCAGAGCAGGTGAGTGGTGCGGCAGAGCAGGTGAGTGGTGCAGCAGAGCAGGTGAGTGGTGCGACAGAGCAGGTGAGTGGTGCAGCAGAGCAGGTGAGTGGTGCGGCAGAGCAGGTGAGTGGTGCGGCAGAGCAGGTGAGTGGTGCAGCAGAGCAGGTGAGTGGTGCGACAGAGCAGGTGAGTGGTGCGGCAGAGCAGGTGAGTGGTGCGGCAGAGCAGGTGAGTGGTGCGGCAGAGCAGGTGAGTGGTGCAGCAGAGCAGGTGAGTGGTGCGGCAGAGCAGGTGAGTGGTGCGGCAGAGCAGGTGAGTGGTGCAGCAGAGCAGGTGAGTGGTGCGGCAGAGCAGGTGAGTGGTGCGACAGAGCAGGTGAGTGGTGCAGCAGAGCAGGTGAGTGGTGCGGCAGAGCAGGTGAGTGGTGCGGCAGAGCAGGTGAGTGGTGCGGCAGAGCAGGTGAGTGGTGCAGCAGAGCAGGTGAGTGGTGCGGCAGAGCAGGTGGGTGGTGCGGCAGAGCAGGTGAGTGGTGCGGCAGAGCAGGTGAGTGGTGCGGCAGAGCAGGTGAGTGGTGCGGCAGAGCAGGTGAGTGGTGCGGCAGAGCAGGTGGGTGGTGCGGCAGAGCAGGTGAGTGGTGCGGCAGAGCAGGTGAGTGGTGCAGCAGAGCAGGTGAGTGGTGCGGCAGAGCAGGTGAGTGGTGCGGCAGAGCAGGTGAGTGGTGCGGCAGAGCAGCTGAGTGGTGCGGCAGAGCAGGTGGGTGGTGCGGCAGAGCAGGTGAGTGGTGCGGCAGAGCAGGTGAGTGGTGCGGCAGAGCAGGTGAGTGGTGCAGCAGAGCAGCTGAGTGGTGCGGCAGAGCAGGTGAGTGGTGCGGCAGAGCAGGTGAGTGGTGCGGCAGAGCAGGTGAGTGGTGCAGCAGAGCAGGTGAGTGGTGCAGCAGAGCAGGTGAGTGGTGCGGCAGAGCAGGTGAGTGGTGCGGCAGAGCAGGTGAGTGGTGCGGCAGAGAAGGTGAGTGGTGCGGCAGAGCAGGTGAGTGGTGCGGCAGAGCAGGTGAGTGGTGCGGCAGAGCAGGTGAGTAGTGCGGCAGAGCAGGTGAGTGGTGCGGCAGAGCAGGTGAGTGGTGCGGCAGAGCAGGTGAGTGGTGCAGCAGAGCAGGTGACTGGTGCGGCAGAGCAGGTGAGTGGTGCAGCAGAGCAGGTGACTGGTGCGGCAGAGCAGGTGAGTGGTGCAGCAGAGCAGGTGAGTGGTGCAGCAGAGCAGGTGAGTGGTGCAGCAGAGCAGGTGAGTGGTGCAGCAGAGCAGGTGAATGGTGCGGCAGAGCAGGTGAGTGGTGCAGCAGAGCAGGTGAGTGGTGCAGCAGAGCAGGTGAGTGGTGCAGCAGAGCAGGTGAGTGGTGCATCAGAGCAGGTGAGTGGTGCAGCAGAGCAGGTGAGTGGTGCAGCAGAGCAGGTGAGTGGTGCAGCAGAGCAGGTGAGTGGTGCAGCAGAGCAGGTGAGTGGTGCGGCAGAGCAGGTGAGTGGTGCAGCAGAGCAGGTGAGTGGTGCAGCAGAGCAGGTGAGTGGTGCAGCAGAGCAGGTGAGTGGTGCAGCAGAGCAGGTGAGTAGTGCGGCAGAGCAGGTGAGTGGTGCAGCAGAGCAGGTGAGTGGTGCGGCAGAGCAGGTGAGTGGTGCAGCAGAGCAGGTGAGTGGTGCGGCAGAGCAGGTGAGTGGTGCGGCAGAGCAGGTGAGTGGTGCAGCAGAGCAGGTGAGTGGTGCGGCAGAGCAGGTGAGTGGTGCAGCAGAGCAGGTGAGTGGTGCAGCAGAGCAGGTGAGTGGTGCGGCAGAGCAGGTGAGTGGTGCAGCAGAGCAGGTGAGTGGTGCGGCAGAGCAGGTGAGTGGTGCGGCAGAGCAGGTGAGTGGTGCGGCAGAGCAGGTGAGTGGTGCGGCAGAGCAGGTGAGTGGTGCGGCAGAGCAGGTGAGTGGTGCGGCAGAGCAGGTGAGTGGTGCGGCAGAGCAGGTGAGTGGTGCGGCAGAGCAGGTGAGTGGTGCGGCAGAGCAGGTGAGTGGTGCGGCAGAGCAGGTGAGTGGTGCGGCAGAGCAGGTGAGTGGTGCGGCAGAGCAGGTGAGTGGTGCGGCAGAGCAGATGAGTGGTGCGGCAGAGCAGGTGAGTGGTGCGGCAGAGCAGGTGAGTGGTGCGGCAGAGCAGGTGAGTGGTGGGGCAGAGCAGGTGAGTGGTGCGGCAGAGCAGGTGAGTGGTGCGGCAGAGCAGGTGAGTGGTGCGGCAGAGCAGGTGAGTGGTGCGGCAGAGCAGGTGAGTGGTGCAGCAGAGCAGGTGAGTGGTGCAGCAGAGCAGGTGAGTGGTGCAGCAGAGCAGGTGAGTGGTGCAGCAGAGCAGGTGAGTGGTGCAGCAGAGCAGGTGAGTGGTGCAGCAGAGCAGGTGAGTGGTGCGGCAGAGCAGGTGAGTGGTGCAGCAGAGCAGGTGAGTGGAGCGGCAGAGCAGGTGAGTGGTGCAGCAGAGCAGGTGAGTGGTGCAGCAGAGCAGGTGAGTGGTGCAGCAGAGCAGGTGAGTGGTGCGGCAGAGCAGGTGAGTGGTGCAGCAGAGCAGGTGAGTGGAGCGGCAGAGCAGGTGAGTGGTGCAGCAGAGCAGGTGAGTGGTGCAGCAGAGCAGGTGAGTGGTGCAGCAGAGCAGGTGAGTGGTGCAGCAGAGCAGGTGAGTGGTGCAGCAGAGCAGGTGAGTGGTGCAGCAGAGCAGGTGAGTGGTGCAGCAGAGCAGGTGAGTGGTGCGGCAGAGCAGGTGAGTGGTGCAGCAGAGCAGGTGAGTGGTGCGGCAGAGCAGGTGAGTGGTGCAGCAGAGCAGGTGAGTGGTGCAGCAGAGCAGGTGAGTGGTGCAGCAGAGCAGGTGAGTGGTGCGGCAGAGCAGGTGAGTGGTGCAGCAGAGCAGGTGAGTGGAGCGGCAGAGCAGGTGAGTGGTGCGGCAGAGCAGGTGAGTGGTGCAGCAGAGCAGGTGAGTGGTGCGGCAGAGCAGGTGAGTGGTGCAGCAGAGCAGGTGAGTGGTGCGGCAGAGCAGGTGAGTGGTGCAGCAGAGCAGGTGAGTGGTGCAGCAGAGCAGGTGAGTGGTGCGGCAGAGCAGGTGAGTGGTGCAGCAGAGCAGGTGAGTGGTGCGGCAGAGCAGGTGAGTGGTGCGGCAGAGCAGGTGAGTGGTGCGGCAGAGCAGGTGAGTGGTGCGGCAGAGCAGGTGAGTGGTGCAGCAGAGCAGGTGAGTGGTGCAGCAGAGCAGGTGAGTGGTGCAGCAGAGCAGGTGAGTGGTGCGGCAGAGCAGGTGAGTGGTGCAGCAGAGCAGGTGAGTGGTGCAGCAGAGCAGGTGAGTGGTGCGGCAGAGCAGGTGAGTGGTGCGGCAGAGCAGGTGAGTGGTGCAGCAGAGCAGGTGAGTGGTGCGGCAGAGCAGGTGAGTGGTGCGGCAGAGCAGGTGAGTGGTGCAGCAGAGCAGGTGAGTGGTGCAGCAGAGCAGGTGAGTGGTGCAGCAGAGCAGGTGAGTGGTGCGGCAGAGCAGGTGAGTGGTGCAGCAGAGCAGGTGAGTGGTGCGGCAGAGCAGGTGAGTGGTGCGGCAGAGCAGGTGAGTGGTGCAGCAGAGCAGGTGAGTGGTGCAGCAGAGCAAGTGAGTGGTGCAGCAGAGCAGGTGAGTGGTGCGGCAGAGCAGGTGAGTGGTGCAGCAGAGCAGGTGAGTGGTGCGGCAGAGCAGGTGAGTGGTGCGGCAGAGCAGGTGAGTGGTGCAGCAGAGCAGGTGAGTGGTGCAGCAGAGCAGGTGAGTGGTGCAGCAGAGCAGGTGAGTGGTGCAGCAGAGCAGGTGAGTGGTGCGGCAGAGCAGGTGAGTGGTGCAGCAGAGCAGGTGAGTGGTGCGGCAGAGCAGGTGAGTGGTGCAGCAGAGCAGGTGAGTGGAGCGGCAGAGCAGGTGAGTGGTGCGGCAGAGCAGGTGAGTGGTGCAGCAGAGCAGGTGAGTGGTGCGGCAGAGCAGGTGAGTGGTGCAGCAGAGCAGGTGAGTGGTGCAGCAGAGCAGGTGAGTGGTGCGGCAGAGCAGGTGAGTGGTGCAGCAGAGCAGGTGAGTGGTGCGGCAGAGCAGGTGAGTGGTGCGGCAGAGCAGGTGAGTGGTGCGGCAGAGCAGGTGAGTGGTGCGGCAGAGCAGGTGAGTGGTGCAGCAGAGCAGGTGAGTGGTGCGGCAGAGCAGGTGAGTGGTGCGGCAGAGCAGGTGAGTGGTGCAGCAGAGCAGGTGAGTGGTGCGGCAGAGAAGGTGAGTGGTGCGGCAGAGCAGGTGAGTGGTGCAGCAGAGCAGGTGAGTGGTGCAGCAGAGCAGGTGAGTGGTGCAGCAGAGCAGGTGAGTGGTGCAGCAGAGTAGGTGAGTGGTGCGGCAGAGCAGGTGAGTGGTGCAGCAGAGCAGGTGAGTGGTGCAGCAGAGCAGGTGAGTGGTGCGGCAGAGCAGGTGAGTGGTGCGGCAGAGCAGGTGAGTGGTGCAGCAGAGCAGGTGAGTGGTGCGGCAGAGCAGGTGAGTGGTGCGGCAGAGCAGGTGAGTGGTGCAGCAGAGCAGGTGAGTGGTGCAGCAGAGCAGGTGAGTGGTGCGGCAGAGCAGGTGAGTGGTGCAGCAGAGCAGGTGAGTGGTGCGGCAGAGCAGGTGAGTGGTGCGGCAGAGCAGGTGAGTGGTGCAGCAGAGCAGGTGAGTGGTGCGGCAGAGCAGGTGAGTGGTGCGGCAGAGCAGGTGAGTGGTGCGGCAGAGCAGGTGAGTGGTGCGGCAGAGCAGGTGAGTGGTGCGGCAGAGCAGGTGAGTGGTGCGGCAGAGCAGGTGAGTGGTGCGGCAGAGCAGGTGAGTGGTGCGGCAGAGCAGGTGAGTGGTGCGGCAGAGCAGGTGAGTGGTGCGGCAGAGCAGGTGAGTGGTGCGGCAGAGCAGGTGAGTGGTGCGGCAGAGCAGGTGAGTGGTGCAGCAGAGCAGGTAAGTGGTGCGGCAGAGCAAGTGAGTGGTGCGGCAGAGCAGGTGAGTGGTGCGGCAGAGCAGGTGAGTGGTGCGGCAGAGCAGGTGAGTGGTGCGGCAGAGCAGATGAGTGGTGCGGCAGAGCAGGTGAGTGGTGCGGCAGAGCAGGTGAGTGGTGCGGCAGAGCAGATGAGTGGTGCGGCAGAGCAGGTGAGTGGTGCGGCAGAGCAGGTGAGTGGTGCGGCAGAGCAGGTGAGTGGTGCGGCAGAGCAGGTGAGTGGTGCAGCAGAGCAGGTGAGTGGTGCGGCAGAGCAGGTGAGTGGTGCGGCAGAGCAGGTGAGTGGTGCGGCAGAGCAGGTGAGTGGTGCGGCAGAGCAGGTGAGTGGTGCGGCAGAGCAGGTGAGTGGTGCGGCAGAGCAGGTGAGTGGTGCGGCAGAGCAGGTGAGTGGTGCGGCAGAGCAGGTGAGTGGTGCGGCAGAGCAGGTGAGTGGTGCGGCAGAGCAGGTGAGTGGTGCGGCAGAGCAGGTGAGTGGTGCGGCAGAGCAGGTGAGTGGTGCGGCAGAGCAGGTGAGTGGTGCGGCAGAGCAGGTGAGTGGTGCGGCAGAGCAGGTGAGTGGTGCGGCAGAGCAGGTGAGTGGTGCGGCAGAGCAGGTGAGTGGTGCGGCAGAGCAGGTGAGTGGTGCGGCAGAGCAGGTGAGTGGTGCGGCAGAGCAGGTGAGTGGTGCGGCAGAGCAGGTGAGTGGTGCGGCAGAGCAGGTGAGTGGTGCGGCAGAGCAGGTGAGTGGTGCGGCAGAGCAGGTGAGTGGTGCGGCAGAGCAGGTGAGTGGTGCGGCAGAGCAGGTGAGTGGTGCGGCAGAGCAGGTGAGTGGTGCGGCAGAGCAGGTGAGTGGTGCGGCAGAGCAGGTGAGTGGTGCGGCAGAGCAGGTGAGTGGTGCGGCAGAGCAGGTGAGTGGTGCGGCAGAGCAGGTGAGTGGTGCGGCAGAGCAGGTGAGTGGTGCGGCAGAGCAGGTGAGTGGTGCGGCAGAGCAGGTGAGTGGTGCGGCAGAGCAGGTGAGTGGTGCGGCAGAGCAGGTGAGTGGTGCGGCAGAGCAGGTGAGTGGTGCGGCAGAGCAGGTGAGTGGTGCGGCAGAGCAGGTGAGTGGTGCGGCAGAGCAGGTGAGTGGTGCAGCAGAGCAGGTGAGTGGTGCGGCAGAGCAGGTGAGTGGTGCAGCAGAGCAGGTGAGTGGTGCAGCAGAGCAGGTGAGTGGTGCGGCAGAGCAGGTGAGTGGTGCAGCAGAGCAGGTGAGTGGTGCGGCAGAGCAGGTGAGTGGTGCAGCAGAGCAGGTGAGTTGAGTGGTGCGGCAGAGCAGGTGAGTGGTGCAGGCAGAGCAGGTGAGTGGTGCAGGCAGAGCAGGGTGAGTGGTGCGGCAGAGCAGGTGAGTGGTGCAGCAGAGCAGGTGAGTGGTGCGGCAGAGCAGGTGAGTGGTGCAGCAGAGCAGGTGAGTGGTGCAGCAGAGCAGAGTGGTGCGGCAGAGCAGGTGAGTGGTGCGGCAGAGCAGGTGAGTGGTGCGGCAGAGCAGGTGAGTGGTGCGGCAGAGCAGGTGAGTGGTGCGGCAGAGCAGGTGAGTGGTGCGGCAGAGCAGGTGAGTGGTGCGGCAGAGCAGGTGAGTGGTGCGGCAGAGCAGGTGAGTGGTGCGGCAGAGCAGGTGAGTGGTGCGGCAGAGCAGGTGAGTGGTGCGGCAGAGCAGGTGAGTGGTGCGGCAGAGCAGGTGAGTGGTGCGGCAGAGCAGGTGAGTGGTGCGGCAGAGCAGGTGAGTGGTGCAGGCAGAGCAGGTGAGTGGTGCGGCAGAGCAGGTGAGTGGTGCAGCAGAGCAGGTGAGTGGTGCGGCAGAGCAGGTGAGTGGTGCAGCAGAGCAGGTGAGTGGTGCGGCAGAGCAGGTGAGTGGTGCGGCAGAGCAGGTGAGTGGTGCGGCAGAGCAGGTGAGTGGTGCGGCAGAGCAGGTGAGTGGTGCGGCAGAGCAGGTGAGTGGTGCGGCAGAGCAGGTGAGTGGTGCGGCAGAGCAGGTGAGTGGTGCGGCAGAGCAGGTGAGTGGTGCGGCAGAGCAGGTGAGTGGTGCGGCAGAGCAGGTGAGTGGTGCGGCAGAGCAGGTGAGTGGTGCGGCAGAGCAGGTGAGTGGTGCGGCAGAGCAGGTGAGTGGTGCGGCAGAGCAGGTGAGTGGTGCGGCAGAGCAGGTGAGTGGTGCGGCAGAGCAGGTGAGTGGTGCGGCAGAGCAGGTGAGTGGTGCGGCAGAGCAGGTGAGTGGTGCGGCAGAGCAGGTGAGTGGTGCGGCAGAGCAGGTGAGTGGTGCGGCAGAGCAGGTGAGTGGTGCGGCAGAGCAGGTGAGTGGTGCGGCAGAGCAGGTGAGTGGTGCGGCAGAGCAGGTGAGTGGTGCGGCAGAGCAGGTGAGTGGTGCGGCAGAGCAGGTGAGTGGTGCGGCAGAGCAGGTGAGTGGTGCGGCAGAGCAGGTGAGTGGTGCGGCAGAGCAGGTGAGTGGTGCGGCAGAGCAGGTGAGTGGTGCGGCAGAGCAGGTGAGTGGTGCGGCAGAGCAGGTGAGTGGTGCGGCAGAGCAGGTGAGTGGTGCGGCAGAGCAGGTGAGTGGTGCGGCAGAGCAGGTGAGTGGTGCGGCAGAGCAGGTGAGTGGTGCGGCAGAGCAGGTGAGTGGTGCGGCAGAGCAGGTGAGTGGTGCGGCAGAGCAGGTGAGTGGTGCGGCAGAGCAGGTGAGTGGTGCGGCAGAGCAGGTGAGTGGTGCGGCAGAGCAGGTGAGTGGTGCGGCAGAGCAGGTGAGTGGTGCGGCAGAGCAGGTGAGTGGTGCGGCAGAGCAGGTGAGTGGTGCGGCAGAGCAGGTGAGTGGTGCGGCAGAGCAGGTGAGTGGTGCGGCAGAGCAGGTGAGTGGTGCGGCAGAGCAGGTGAGTGGTGCGGCAGAGCAGGTGAGTGGTGCGGCAGAGCAGGTGAGTGGTGCGGCAGAGCAGGTGAGTGGTGCGGCAGAGCAGGTGAGTGGTGCGGCAGAGCAGGTGAGTGGTGCGGCAGAGCAGGTGAGTGGTGCGGCAGAGCAGGTGAGTGGTGCGGCAGAGCAGGTGAGTGGTGCGGCAGAGCAGGTGAGTGGTGCGGCAGAGCAGGTGAGTGGTGCGGCAGAGCAGGTGAGTGGTGCGGCAGAGCAGGTGAGTGGTGCGGCAGAGCAGGTGAGTGGTGCGGCAGAGCAGGTGAGTGGTGCGGCAGAGCAGGTGAGTGGTGCGGCAGAGCAGGTGAGTGGTGCGGCAGAGCAGGTGAGTGGTGCGGCAGAGCAGGTGAGTGGTGCGGCAGAGCAGGTGAGTGGTGCGGCAGAGCAGGTGAGTGGTGCGGCAGAGCAGGTGAGTGGTGCGGCAGAGCAGGTGAGTGGTGCGGCAGAGCAGGTGAGTGGTGCGGCAGAGCAGGTGAGTGGTGCGGCAGAGCAGGTGAGTGGTGCGGCAGAGCAGGTGAGTGGTGCGGCAGAGCAGGTGAGTGGTGCGGCAGAGCAGGTGAGTGGTGCGGCAGAGCAGGTGAGTGGTGCGGCAGAGCAGGTGAGTGGTGCGGCAGAGCAGGTGAGTGGTGCGGCAGAGCAGGTGAGTGGTGCGGCAGAGCAGGTGAGTGGTGCGGCAGAGCAGGTGAGTGGTGCGGCAGAGCAGGTGAGTGGTGCGGCAGAGCAGGTGAGTGGTGCGGCAGAGCAGGTGAGTGGTGCGGCAGAGCAGGTGAGTGGTGCGGCAGAGCAGGTGAGTGGTGCGGCAGAGCAGGTGAGTGGTGCGGCAGAGCAGGTGAGTGGTGCGGCAGAGCAGGTGAGTGGTGCGGCAGAGCAGGTGAGTGGTGCGGCAGAGCAGGTGAGTGGTGCGGCAGAGCAGGTGAGTGGTGCGGCAGAGCAGGTGAGTGGTGCGGCAGAGCAGGTGAGTGGTGCGGCAGAGCAGGTGAGTGGTGCGGCAGAGCAGGTGAGTGGTGCGGCAGAGCAGGTGAGTGGTGCGGCAGAGCAGGTGAGTGGTGCGGCAGAGCAGGTGAGTGGTGCGGCAGAGCAGGTGAGTGGTGCGGCAGAGCAGGTGAGTGGTGCGGCAGAGCAGGTGAGTGGTGCGGCAGAGCAGGTGAGTGGTGCGGCAGAGCAGGTGAGTGGTGCGGCAGAGCAGGTGAGTGGTGCGGCAGAGCAGGTGAGTGGTGCGGCAGAGCAGGTGAGTGGTGCGGCAGAGCAGGTGAGTGGTGCGGCAGAGCAGGTGAGTGGTGCGGCAGAGGGGCAGGGTGAGTGGTGCGGCAGAGCAGGTGAGTGGTGCGGCAGAGCAGGTGAGTGGTGCGGCAGAGCAGGTGAGTGGTGCGGCAGAGCAGGTGAGTGGTGCGGCAGAGCAGGTGAGTGGTGCGGCAGAGCAGGTGAGTGGTGCGGCAGAGCAGGTGAGTGGTGCGGCAGAGCAGGTGAGTGGTGCGGCAGAGCAGGTGAGTGGTGCGGCAGAGCAGGTGAGTGGTGCGGCAGAGCAGGTGAGTGGTGCGGCAGAGCAGGTGAGTGGTGCGGCAGAGCAGGTGAGTGGTGCGGCAGAGCAGGTGAGTGGTGCAGCAGAGCAGGTGAGTGGTGCAGAAGAGCCACTGACCGACCTACTGAAAAAGGATACGCCCTACAAATGGGATACTCCTCATCAGCAAGCCAAAGAGCAGCTACAGACAGCACTGACTACAGCGCCAGTACTCATCCTACCAGATCCAGACAAGGACTACGTGGTGGAAGCAGACGCTAGTGGCCAAGCAGTCGGAGCAGTACTGATGCAGGATCATGGACGCGGTTTGCAGCCCATCGCCTACCTCAGTAAGAAGCTACACGGAGCAGAACTGAACTACCCCATCCATGACAAGGAAGCCTTAGCGATTGTCATAGCCTTCAAGGCGTGGAGGTGTTACCTAGAGGGAGCCAAGATTACAGTCTATACTGACCACTGCAGTCTCAAATACCTGAAGTCGCAGCCAACGCTCTCACGACGACAGGTGCGGTGGATGGACTTCCTAGAAACTCACTTCCACTACGACATCGTCTTCAAGCCCGCGCTACAGAACAAAGCAGACGCGTTGAGCCGCCCTGGACATGTAGCAGGCATCCAGCTCGACGGGATGAACCCTTTGCTCAAGGGACTATTCCAACATGGGTACTCCGTGGACGCAGAGATCGCTATAGCACAGACAAAGAAGCTGTTACAGTGGGAGAAAGACTTAGCTGTAAGGAAGGGTTCAGAAGAGATTTGGGTACCGAATTACGCCCCGCTACGGCAGGTCCTCTTGGAGAAGTTTCACGACGTACCTTACGCGGGACATTTCGGGAGCAACAAGATGTTAGCAGGGATAGCGAAGTATTACTACTGGCCCGGGATGGCAGCAGGCGTGCAGCAGTTCGTCACCTCATGCGACACGTGCCAACGTATGAAGAGCAGCAAGCAGAAAAAAGCAGGGTTACTTCAACCTCTACCTGAACCGGAGCAGCCATGGCAGGTCGTTAGCCTCGACTTCATCACGGGACTTCCCTCGACCTCACGGGGACATGATTCCATCCTCGTAGTCATCGATAAGTTCTCCAAAATAGGTCACTTCATCCCGACCAACGCCACAGCTACAGCTGAAGCAACTGCTCGCCTCTTCTTTGACCGCATCATCACCATTCACGGCATCCCCGCTACACTCATCTCAAACAGAGACCCCAAATTCACGAGTAAGTTCTGAAAGGAGCTCATGGGACTGTTGGGGACAAAACTTGCAATGTCTTCAGCATACCACCCCCAGACTGACGAACAGACCGAGCGACTCAATCAAGTGGTTGAACAGTTACTGCGCACAGCTTGCAAAGACGACGTCAGCCACTAGGACACACAGTTACCGACCCTAGAGTTCGCTTACAACAACGTGTCACATGCGGCCACAGGGAAAACTCCTTTCTTCCTGTGTTACGGGCGGGAACCACTTACACCACAGCAGCCAACCACACCGGCACACGTCCAAGCTGCACATGACTTCGTCACCACCATGCAGCAGCTATGGGAGAAGACCCAGCGACGACTCACCACGATGCAGACCTCCCTGAAGCAGTATGCCGATCGTCAGCTACGAGATCACTTAGTAGCAGTCGGAGATCAGGTGCTTCTTGATACGCGCAACTTGAACCTGTCTCACCTCCCATCCAAACTCCGGCCTCGCTTCTGTGGTCCTTTTCTCGTTGAGGCACAGGTGACACCAGTTACATTCCGCTTGCGCTTACCAGATACATGGAAGCTTCACAACGCTTTCCATGTTCAGCTACTGAAACCCTATAAGGACCCGAACCAACAGTTCGAGGGACGGCAGCTACCGCCACCACCACCTATACTCATACAGGATGAACCAGAATACGAGATTGAGCGCGTTCTCTTTCATCGGCGCCGCGGCGGCAAGGGCCTCGAGTTCCTGATACGCTGGAAGGGATACGACCCCACTGAGGACAGTTGGGTTGCAGAAGCTGATATGGGCAACACACGCCGTGCTCTCAAGGACTATCTTGTCAAGCAGGGTGTTTCTCACGCCACCCAGCTTTGAGGGGGGGACGTGTGAGAGTACAATGGCTTATGCTGGCTTTGCTAGCTTGCCTAGACTTTATTACGCTATATCTAGCTTGGGTTTTATTTATCATGCATAGATATGCTTGATTTCCTAGGTTAGGTGCATTCCTATGTGTTATCTTAGTTATAGCACCGAACCAAGTTGCGTGTACCGAACTCAAGCCTATTCGGTTTCCACCGAATCGCTTTCTACTGAGTTCGGGAAGGTTCTGTTCGGGAGGCTTCGCGACCCTCAGAACATTCGCGTAACACCTGGGTAACTGGCCTTGTGTCGAGACTATATATAGCCTTGTGTTGTACCCAGTTGAATCATTCAAGTACAATTCTCTTTTCTGAGCTCGATCCTAGATCCTCACACCATCGGTTCCAGTGCCTAAACCTCACAAGCACCCTAAGGTGTAAAGAAATGAGGGGGGAGGGGGTTTACCGGGGGAGGACCTGGCGCAAGGAAGAGCGGCGGCGGGGGGAGGGGCGCAGTGCGGTAGGGGAAGAGACGGTAGTAAGGCACCGACTCGTCAAAGGTGACGTCCTGGGAGGACAGAACACGGCGCGAGGTGGGGTGGTAAAACTGCCACCCAGGCGCGTCAGGGGGGAAGCCAAGGAAGACGCAGGGAACAGCACGGGGGGACAGCTTGTCCGCAGACAAGTCGCGGACAAACGCCTGAGATCCCCAGACCCGAAACGCAGACGCATCGCCAACCTTCCCCGTCCACCGCAAGGTGGGGGAGGTCTCTGGCAAGGAGACCCGGGGCTGAAGGTTGAGCTGATGCGCTGCGTACTGAACCGTAAATGGCCACAGAAAATGGGGGGCAGCCGCATGGATCATGGACGTACGAGCGACGTCCATGACCATGCCAATGCGGCGCTCAGCAATCCCATTTTGCTGTCGAGAGGCCGGAAGCGTGAAGGTCTGGCGGATGCCCTATGCTTGACAGAAGGCTCCCAGGCGGGCACAGGAAAACTCCCCGCCTCTGTCAGAGTGCAGACGCAGAAGAGGAAAGTCCGAGCCGAAACTCTCTCTGAGTTGGAGACGAGCTGCGCGGATCTAGTCGATCAACACCTCAGTGACGTCACCCCTGCTGCGCAAGGGGAAGACTGTGGTGTAACGCGAGTTGTGGTCAACCACCAACAGGAAGTAACGCTCGTGCCCCTGGCCACGGACGCGGGCGGGGCCCCACACGTCCATGTGAAGAGTCTGCAGCGGAGCCTCTGTCCGAGGAAACTCGGAGGAGTGAGGGGCGGCGCGCTGTCGCCCCTCGACGCAGGGGACGCAGGTAGGGGCAGGCCCCGGAGGTAGGGGAGGGAGAGACCGGGGGAGACCAGAGACAAGGACACGGGAGGCCATGCCTCGGAGACGAGGCAGGGAGGGGTGACCAAGGCGGTGGTGCCAAAGGAGAGTCTGGTGGGACAGGAGACGACACGAGCAGGGAGCAGACTCAGGACCAGACCTAGACGCTGCAGCAAACACCTGACTCGACGCAGCTACCTAACCAGACTCAGCAGCCGGAGGAGACTCAGTAGTAAGTGTGTATAGGCTCGACCTCGGCCGACGGGTGAACGTGGCCAAGTGTCGGCCTGTCTGAGCACACGTGCAGTGGGTCACCCGCTGACTCGCAGGAGTGAACTGGTCAACCCCCCTATCCTGTAGATCAGCACCACTCACCAAGTTCGTAGAGAACGAGGGGAGGTAGAGACCTGACAGGGTGCCAGAGGGGGCTGCCGGGCACGGTAAGACAGTGGAGAAGCTAGCAAGGATAGGATCCCCAGAGGGGTCCGCCAGGGAGACTGCAACCGGCCGACTAAGCGGCGTAAGCGTGGTGCGGTCTCGAAAGAAGGAGCGGGAAGCACCCGAGTCAAGGGTGAAGGTGTGTAAGGCCTGAGCCGACGTAGTACCTGAGAGAGCAGACTCACCAGCACCTGGGGCAGCAGACGCACTAGCACCTAGAGCAGCAGCCTCACCAACACCTAGAGCAGCAGCCTCAATGCTCGGGTCAGGCGGAACACACAGGTAACAGTCACCCTCAACACTATTAGACACAGCTGACATGGCAGCAAGAATAGCATCATAATCAAGATCAAAGATAGCAACCCCCGCCCTAGACAGCTCTCCCCAGCAAGGGATCTCAGAGGCGTCAGGGAACTGGTGACGCCACGCGTACGTCAGGCGGCCGAAGCAGCGCTGGGTGGAGTGCGGGCCCCCGCACTGCTCACCAGCGCGGTCGCCGATACGGAGGACGTAGGTGCAGGGACCAGTACCCCCACCGCGCTGACGCGCAGCGTACCACTCACGAAGCTGCTGAGGGGACAGGGTCTCACGACTGCGCTGCTGCTGCTGGCGCGGACCGCCACCGGACCCACTCCTCTGCGCAGAGCCGCGACCAGCTCCACCGCTGCCGCCGCCTCCTCCGCCACCTCCGTCGCCTCCGCCACCTCCGCCGCCTCCGCCACCTCCGCCGCCTCCGCTCCCTCCGCCACCGCCGCCGCCTCCTCCGCCTCCACTGCTGCCACCGACACCTCCACCCCCGCCACCACTCCCACCACCACCCCCACCCCCTCCACTGCCTTAACCACCACCTACATCGCCCCCGCCAGGCTCTTTAGCGCCCTTGCCCCCCTTGCCCTTGCCGGTGCAGCGTCTCCCGCTAGGGGTAGACGCAGCGCCGACCGACTCGAAACCAACGAGGTCGGCCGCAGCAGCAGAAGCAACAGAGGGCAAGAGGGGGGAAGGGGAACACCCCTCAAAGACGGGGGTGCGAGGGTCACCACGAGAGGCTCCTACAGCGACTATGCTCTTCTCTGCTTCTAGGAGGCGCTCCTCGAGGAGGTCAACGGTGAGTGTGGTGGGGCAAACTGAGAGGAAGTGGTCCCTGACTAAGCGAAGGGAGTCAGGGAGCCGGGTGACTATGTAGTAGAGGGTGATGTACATAGGGGGGGGGTTCTTGGCGCAGAACTCAGCAGGAAGCGCAGCGCGGTAGCGGGTGTCACTAGTGCGAAGGTGCGTAACGAGGTCAGCGATAGTGGGAAAGGTGGCGAGGTCAGGAAACAGGTACGGCAGCATGAGGTGGCTAAGGGCAGCAGTGGCAGGGGAAGAGTAGCGCGCAACTACAGCATCGTAGAAGGTCTTAGCACTCTTGTACTGACTAAAGTGCGCACGCTAAGCGGTCGGTAAGTGGCGACGCACAGCAAGACGGGCAGCAGCCTCGCGCGTGGCCCACTGTGAGCGAAAAGTGCTGTCAGCATGAGCCGGCGGGGCAAGAGAGGCACCAGAGGTGAGATCAAACAGGGAGAGTCCGTCTGCCCTATCGCACTGTAGGAAAAGCTGCAGGTCATCGACCCAGACCTCGAAGTCAACAGCACGACGCTCAGTATCAAAGGTAAGGACACTCGGGGTAGCCATGAGAGCAGTGGTCTAGCAGGGAGGGCTCTCACCAGACCGGGTGGGTAGAGCCGGGGCGCGCCGGGAGGAGCAGGGCTGCAACAACGGTGGCAGCGGCTCGGCAGTGACAGTGGCGGCTCGACGGCAGCTGCTCGGCGGCTCGGCTGTCGGGCGGCTCGGCGGCTCGGTTGCTGGGCGGCTCGGCGGCTTGGCGGCTCGGCTGCTGGGCGGCTCGGCGGCTCGGCGGCTCGGCTGCTGGGCGGCTCGGCGGCTCGGCTGTTGGGCGGCTCAGCTGCTAGGTGGCTCGGTAGAGACGGCGACGGGGCCGGTAGAGGCGGCGACGGGGCCGGCAGAGGCGGCGATGGGGCCGCTAGGGGCAGCGACGGGGCCGCGTAGGGAGGGGAGCAGCAACGGGGCCGCCAGGGGCGACTACGGGGCCGCGTAGGGGCGGCGACGGGGCCGCGTAGGGGCGGCGACGAGGCCGCGTAGTGGCGGCGACAGGGCCGCGTAGGGAGGGGAGCGGCGACGGGGCCGCTAGGGGCAGCGACGGGGCCGCGTAGGGGCGGCGAAGGGGCCGCGTAGGGGCGGCGACGAGGCCGCGTAGTGGCGGCGACGGGGCCGCGTAGGAAGGGGAGCGGCGACGGGGCTGCTAGGGGCGGCGACGGGGCCGCGTAGGGGCGGCGACGGGGCCGCGTAGGTAGAGAGGCGGCGACGGGGCCGCTAGGGGTGGCGACGGGGCCGCGTAGGGGCGGCGACGGGTCCGCTAGGGGCGGCGACGGGGCCGCGTAGGGGCGGCGACGGGGCCGCGTAGGGGCGGCGACGGGACCGCGTAGGGAGAGAGGCGGCGACGAGGCCGCTAGGGGCGGCGACGGGGCCGCTAGGGGCGGCGACGGGGCCGCGTAGGGGCGGCGACGAGGTCGCTAGGGGCCGCGAGGGGCCTGGAAGGGCGGCGAACAAGGCGCGCCTCGGGCAGGAGCGACTGACGCTCCGGTCAGAAAAAAAGTTTCAGTGGTGGGCCCAAGGAAGCGTTCCCACTAGGGAACCTGCTCTATACCATGTAAAGAAATGAGGAATGAATGAACTAGCAAGCATTGAACTGCTCCAGCTGGCCGCATTGATCTGCAATGTCATCGGCTTTCGTGTGTTTTCGAGGTGTCGCCTTCAAGCCCAGCGCGTCACCCACGGTACCCAAGTGATGACGCACCCCTGCGTCCAGTTCGTCTGACGTCACGCCTTTGCTGATGGGGAGAAACTCGATCTTGGTCGTCAGGATCTGGATGTCATCCTCGATAACTGATATCTTCTCCTTCTGGGCGAGCAACTCTTGCCGCATGTCTACCGGTCGGTCAATGCATATATAACCATCGTCGTCTATAAGAGGAACAGGCTGCAAATGGATGCGCAGACCTTGGTGCTGAAGTTTGGGGATCAGCGTCCCTTCGGCATGAGAACACAGACCGGCACGCAGGCGGTATTTCGCCGCGCTCACAATCCTGAACGATATGTATTCGTGCACGATCACAAATCCAGATGTCACCAGTGGCTCGAGATATTGACAAGTGTACACACTATAGCCCCAGCTACTAGGTTGTTGTGGTACCTGGTGACCTTGCGCAACCGAGGGGCAACAAGGTGGTACACATTAGGACAAGCAATCATAAAGATCAGACGTTGTATTGTGTGCAGTGATTCGTTTTATAATAAACAATGTTATGTCAGAATCCCAACCACTAGACCATTGGGATAAAAGGGCTTGTTAAGTAGCGGGTCAGTGCGCCCATAACCCCCCAGGACAACGAGCCTGTAACCCTTCCCTAGGATCAATCGGGGATCACCAGTGGACCTCTGACACGTTACATGCATGGTTGTGGTCTTCGCGTTGATGAGTGCCTGTCCTGACGTCTTTGGGTCCACCTGCGGATGACCGCGAAGGCACATTAGGTGAAGTAACATGCAAGATAGATGGCCATACTGCCATATGCGGCCACAACAGTCGTATGACCCGGCGATCCAACTTTGTTTTATACAAACAATCTCACGATTTAGTGTCGTCAAATGCCTGGGTCGTCTTGGAGTGGCACCCGTCACTGTCGAATAGAATGAGCTCCACAGGTGCCGAGGTTGGGGCTACAATCCCGCCCGGGTTCGTCACCACCATCAACAAATAGTGTACACTGCACGCTCGACGATTCATGGTTAGACGGTAGATATGACCAGGCGAAAATATAACAGTGATGTATTGACGCACATACCTGGCAAAGACCGGAACGGCCATGCAATCGTACTCGAATACGGTAGGGCCACTGCATCCTCCGATTGGCTTCTTGTGTAACTTAGCATACGCATATGCCTTGCTATCGAAAACCACCCATGATTTGCCGTTCAGGCATCTCGTGTATCGTATGTTAAGGAGGCTGGGGGGAGGCGGGGGGTCATAATACGATGAATACGTCCGTGGTGGATAACATGGCGGATTGGCGCATGCCGGCGGGCACTGGACGGTAAGATGCACACTTACATGTTATCAAAATCCATCACCGCATCCCCGAGATAAGACTTGTCGGTGATCGATACGGCGTCGTGCGCAGTCACCTGATAGCCGACGCCCATGTGATTATATGGTGACACGGTCTTGAAAGTCGATGACTCCGGATTGCTCAACATTAATGTGAGAGCGTCGTCCGACGCAGGCTCCTCCTCGTCGCTTACCAGCCGCGATCCACATGCGGAAACGGCTGTCGTAACAGCCTTCCCTTCGGTGGGCGTTTCGTGCGTGAGTTCATGCGAGCGCTGCCTTTTGTTGCCTAGTGCTTCAAGAATGGTGGTGTTATCCCGCCGCGATTCAAGAGGAGACCTACGCGATGCCGCGGCTTCGGGCTTACGGAAGCCACGCATCGTGGCTTGTGCTTTGGTTCAGGGCGGCATTGCTCTTAAGAGGTCGTGAGAGAGGCGGAAACCCTAAGATAACAAAAGAGAACCATGCAAGTGTTGGCCCAACGGATCCTGTTATAGGCAGATGTTGGCATTGTTGTTGGTTTCACGGATTTCCGTAGGCATTTTACGCCCGAAAAAATCCAGAATGTGGATACCACCTTGGCGGAGCGTAATTGGCAGCCGGGCTTTGTGAGAGAACGAGGATGAATGAACTAGCAAGCAGGTGGGTACAAGTAGGAAAACCTAAAAGTGTTGTACCCCATATTGTCTACCCCACTACAGCCTACACAGACTATAGCATATGAGTTTGACACACCCCCATAGGCAAAGTGGGGGAGAAAAAGAGGTCACAAGACCAGTCAAGCAAAGCAAAGCAAGCTCAGAGTGGATCACAACGTCACCACACATTCCGAGCACAAGTTCAAGGCCAGAAGGCCAGTTCACATGCAAGATTATATATAAAGGTAGACAAGCAAGTGCAGGAATAGACAGATCCCAGTACAAGCAAGGTCAAGAAGTGAGCAAGTGTGGCCAAGTAGGCACAAGACCTAGCATCGTACAGAATCGCTGATGATCACAAGGCGGAAGTGCCTTGGTAAAGATATCAGCAGTGTTGGCCTCAGAGGCCACGTAAGCAAGGCGCAGCTGACCACGCTGCTGCAGCTCACGAGCAAGGAAGTAGCGCAGAGCAATGTGCTTCGTTCTGTGCTCCAGTCTGTGCTCCCGACACAAGGCCAGCATGGCCTTGTTGTCTACGTACAGAACTGGAGGAGAACGAGGCGGCACTCCTAGGTCAGTCAGCAGGTAGGTGAACCAGCGTAGCACCTGTGCAGCCATGGCCCCCGCGTAGATCTCAGCCTCACAGCTAGAGCCGAGAACAGAAGACGAACGGGTAGACCGCCACGAAACAGAGCCGGAACCAAGGCTGAAAGTGTAACCCTGTGACGACCGCTGCGTAGCCTGGTCGTCAGCCCAAGAAGCGTCTGCTTGACCTGTGAGGACCACTGGACGTCGCCCTCCAAGCACTAGCCCCATGCCCGACGTACTGCACAAGTAGCGCAACACCCTCTTCGCTGCAGCCATGTGCTCCGGTCGGTGTCTCCCAGGAGCAACATAGCGTGCCAAGATGCTAAGAGGGTATGCAAGGTCAGGTCGAGTGTAGGTCATCAGGTACATGAGGCAGCCAACAAGCTCTGGGTACGGGCCACTCGGCTCTACGGACTCATCCGAAGGCAGAGCTAAGAGCGAGTGGCGAGTAGACAGAGGAGTGGCCTGAGGCGAGGAGTACGTGAAGTCGAAGAGCTGAAGGACCTGCTTGTCAGAATATTATGTTTCTCTAGTCTGCAGTGGGGTACTCTATAGTGAGTACAACCCTTTTTAGGGTTTACTATATGTATCCCAATGTTTGCTAGTGAACCCCCTCTCTCTTCTTCATTCCTCGTTTCTTCACACTGCTGCACCATGTGTGACTAAGTCAGGGTAATGGTGCGCTGTGCTCTGTCCCGGGTGATCTGCAAGCCAAGGTAGCTGCGCAGTTCACCCAGGTCTGTGCACGTGTGTCTCTTCTGCAGCTCGGACTTCACGTGGGCGAGTCCAGCAGTGTCAGCAGTGGCAAAGACCAAGTCGTCGACGTACACGAGGATGTAGAACGGCGGCAAAGAGGTGTCGGTGCGCAGAAACAGCGACGGGTCGGCAGTAGAAGGAGCTGTGAAAGAAAGAACGAGAATGAATTGACTATGAACGAAGTGAGTACAAATAGGAAACCCTAATTGGGTTGTACCCCCTATGGGATACCCCACTATAGCATACACAAATAAGTAAGCTATAATGTTCTGACACACCCCCATAGGCAAAGTGGGGAAGAACAAGGGGTCACAAGACCAGTCAAGCAAAGCAAAGCAAAGCTCAGGGTGGATCACAAAGTCACCACACATTCCGAGCACAAGTTCAAAGGCCACAAGGCCAGTTCACATGCAAGATCATATATAGAGATATACAAGAGTCAAGCAAGCAAGAACAAGAGTATATATAGGTGAAGGTACAAGCAAGGTCAAGAAGTGAGCAAGTGAGGCAAGACAGGCACAAGACCTAGCTGCGTGCAGCAACGCTGATGATCACAAGGCGCAAGTGCCTTGGTGAAGACATCAGCAGTGTTGGCCTCGGAGGCCACGTACGCAAGTCGCAACTATCCACGCTGCTGCAGCTCACGAGCAAGAAAGTAGCGGAGAGCAATGTGCTTTGTCCTGTGCTCCAGTCGCTGCTCTCGACACAAGGCCAGCATGGCCTTGTTGTCTACGTACAGGACTGGAGGAGAACGAGGCGGCTCTCCAAGGTCGGTCAGCAGGTAGGTGAGCCAGCGTAACTCCTGTGCAGCCATAGCCCCGGCGTAGATCTCAGCCTCACAACTAGAGCCGAGAACAGAAGACGAGCGAGTAGCCCGCCACGAAACAGAGCCGGAACCAAGGCCGAAGGAGTAACCTTGTGACGACCGCTGCGTAGCCTGGTCGTCAGCCCAAGAAGCGTCCGCGTGCCCAGTGAGGACCACTGGACTGCGCCCTCCAAGCACTAGCCCCATGCCCGATGTACTGCACAAGTAGCGCAACACCCTCTTCGCTGCAGCCATGTGCTCTGGTCGGTGTCTCCCAAGAGCAACATAGCGTGCGAGAATGCTGAGAGGGTATGCAAGGTCAGGTCGTGTGCAGGTCATCAGGTACATGAGGCAGCCAACAAGCTTTGCATACGGGCCACTCGACTCTACGGACTCATCCGAAGGCAGAGCTGAGAGCGAGTGGCGAGTAGACAGAGGAGTGGCCTGAGGCGAGGAGTACGTGAAGCCGAAGCGCTGAAGGACCTGCTGCACCATGTGTGACTGAGTCAGGGTAATGGTGCGGCGTGCTCTGTCCCGGGTGATCTGCAAGCCAAGGTAGCTGCGCAGTTCACCCAGGTCAGTGCACGTGTGTCTCTTCTGCAGCTCGGACTTCACGTAGGCGAGTCCAGCAGTGTCCGCTGTGGCAAAGACCAAGTCGTCGACGTACACAAGGATGTAGAATGGCGGCAGAGAGGTGTCGGTGCGCAGAAACAGCGACGGGTCGGCAGTAGAAGGAGCAAACCCAAGAGCCGCAAGTGTAGTCCTCAGTGTGTCGTGCCACTCACGTGGTGCCTGGCGGAGACCGTAGACTGGACGCCGGAGACTCCACTGGGTACCAGGAGGGAAAGACCCAGTGAAGCCAGGTGGGCGACGCAGCCAGATCTCCTCGTGCAGGCTGCCCTGCAAGAAAGCTGTGCTGAAGTCGAGAGAGTGCAGCTCGTAGTCGCGGTGAGCAGCAACGTGCAGCAGTACCCGAAGAGTGGTCATCTTCGGGGTGGGGGAGAAGGTCTGAAAGTAGTCAACTCCCTGCCGCTGACTGAAGCCACGAGCCACGTAACGCGCCTTGAAGACAGGCGGAGAGCCCGGCGGCCGCTTCACCCTGAAGATCCACATGCCACCGACGATGTTCGCCCCAGGAGGGGGAACAGCGTCAACGTAGGTGCCTGTGGACTTCCAGGAAGCCATCTCTGCATCCATAGCTGCCTGCCACTGAGAGGAGTAGGGACCCTCTATCGCCTCCGCGTAAGAGCGCGGAGTCGGGACGCGTCTCCTGGTTACAGTTGTCACTGACCCTTCCTTTGAGTCCACTGCTGCGTCTCCCTTAGTTGCTGAGCTTGTCGACTTTGCTGCTCGCTGTCGTCTAGACTACGCCGCTAGTCTTGTTGCTGAGTCTGAGTCTGTCTGTCCTCCGTCCGTCGGGGGTGAGTATGCTCTTACAACGGACGTCCTTGAGGACAGGCAGGAGGAGTTCTAGTGTTTTGCTGCTGCTTTGCCTCATCTCGTGCCCATGCTGATTGCCCCTGAGGGAGACCCGGATGCACCAGACATCCCGACTCCTCGATCGTACGCTGAGGCGATCGAGGGTCCCTACTCTCTCACAGTGGCAGTCAGCCATGGACGCAGAGATGGCTTCCTGGAAGTCCACACGCACCTACGTCGACGAAATTCCCCCACCTAGGGCGAACATCGTCAGTGGCATGTGGATTTTCAGGGTGAAGCGGCCGCCGGGCTCTCCGCCTGTCTTCAAGGCGTGTTACGTGGCTCGAGGCTTCAGTCAGCGGCAGGGAGTTGACTACTTTCAGACCTTCTCTCCCACCCCGAAGATGACCACTCTTCGGGTGCTGCTGCACATAGCCGCTCAGCGCGACTACGAGCTTCATTCTCTTGACTTCAGCACAACTTTCTTGCAGGGCAGCCTGCACGAGGAGATTTGGTTGCGCCGCCTCCCTGGCTTCACTAGGTCGTTTCCTCCTCGTACCCAGTCGAGCCTCCGGCGGCCAGTCTACGGTCTCCGCCAGGCGCCCCGTGAGTGGCACGACACACTGAGGACTACACTTGCGGCTCTTGGGTTTGCTCCTTCTACTGCCGACCTGTCGTTGTTTCTGCGCACCGACACCTCTTTACCGCCGTTCTACATCATCGTGTACGTCGACGACTTGGTCTTTGCCACTGCTGACACTGCTGGACTCGCCCACGTGAAGTCTGAGCTGCAAAAGAGACACACGTGCACAGACCTGGGTGAACTGCGTAGCTACCTTGGCTTGTAGATCACCCGGGACAGAGCACAGCGCACCATTACGCTGACTCAGTCACACATGGTGCAGCAGGTCCTTCAGCGCTTCGACTTCACGTACTCCTCGCCTCAGGCCACTCCTCTGTCTACTCGCCACTCGCTCTCAGCTCTGCCTTCGGATGAGTCCGTAGAGCCGAGTGGCCCGTATGCAGAGCTTGTTGGCTGCCTCATGTACCTGATGACCTGCACACGACCTGACCTTGCATACCCTCTTAGCATCTTGGCACGCTTTGTTGCTCCTGGGAGACACCGACCAGAGCACATGGCTGCAGCGAAGAGGGTGTTGCACTACTTGTGCAGTACGTCAGGCATGGGGCTAGTGCTTGGAGGGCGGCGTTCAGTGGTCCTCACCGGTCATCAGACGCTTCTTGGGCCGACGACCAGGCTACGCAGCGGTCGTCACAGGGTTACACCTTCAGTCTTTGTTCCGGCTCTGTTTCGTGGCGGTCCACCCGCTCGTCTTCTGTTCTCGGCTCCAGGTGTGAGGCTGAGATCTACGCGGGGGCCATGGCTGCACAGGAGCTATGCTGGCTCACATACCTGCTGACTGACCTGGGAGAGCCGCCTCGTTCTGCTCCAGTTCTGTACGTAGACAACAAGGCCATGCTGGCCTTGTGTCGGGAGCACAGACTGGAGCACAGAACGAAGCACATTGCTCTTCGTTACTTCCTTGCTCGTGAGCTGCAGCAGCGTGGTCAGCTGCGCCTTGCTTACGTGGCCTCTCAGGCCAACACTGCTGATATTTTTACCAAGGCACTTCCGCCTTGTGATCATCAGCGCTGCTCTACGATGCTAGGTCTTGTGCCTACTTGGCCTCACTTGCTCAGTTCTTGACCTTGCTTGTACTGTGATCTATCTATACCTGCACTTGCTTGTTTACCTTTATATATGATCTTGCATGTGAACTGGCCTTGTGGCCTTGAACTTGTGCTCGGAATGTGTGGTGACGTTGTGATCCACCCTGAGCTTGCTTTGCTTTTCTTGACTAGTCTTGTGACCTCTTGTTCTCCCCCCACTTTGTCTATGGGGGTGTGTCAAACTTATATGCTATAGTCTGTGTAGGCTGTCGTGGGGTAGACAATATGGGGTACAACACTTTTAGGTTTTCCTACTTGTACCCACCTGTTTCCCAGTGCATTCACTTCCTCGTTCTTTCACAGCAAATGGCCAAGTTTCTTGAAGAAGAAACGGTGAGCATAGACTCTAAGACAACATATCAAACTTTCAACATGTGGTGGAAAGTGCATGGTGCACGATTCCCCATTGTTGCAAAGATGGCACACCACTACCTTGCAATTCTGGCAACTTCCGCCGAATCGGAACGCACCTTCTCCACTGCACGTCGTCTCATCACCGGTTATCTTCATTGCCTTGATCCGTGTCTTGTGTCATGATTTGAGCTCACATGCATGGAGTGGTAGTTTAGTATTTGTTATTGAGGATATGTGCTTGTTGTTGTATGCTATGCTAAGTGCAACACAAGTGTAGTTGTATAACAGGATTGAATGTAGCAAAAAAAAAAAGGCATACCAAGTTTATAAGGTCGTACTCGATACTCGACTCGTATTCGAACGTATTCGGCAACATTCAACCCGTATTCGACTCGTATAAAACGATGGTATTCGATCAAATACTTTCTCTACAACGCTAAATATTCGTCAAAGTTACTCGTCGACTCGGTTATTCGTTTTTCACCCTTTACCTAAGGCTAATGAGAGGTCATGGCGGGCCCTCACCTTTTGTGGTTGGGTTGTTGTTGAGTGAGTTGTGTTTTGGTACACAAACTCCACTGTGGTCCCTACAAGTTCCCAAACCTGTTTCCTTCACGTTCCTAAACCCTGTGATGACGTCGTCTCTCTCCGTCGCCCTGCACGGGGGCGGTCGCGTGCTCAGCATTCAGTCACATACCGTCCAGGTATCCGTTGCATGCAGTCGTACACTGCCCAGGTATCCTTCGCATTCTGTCGCAGACCGTGTTGGTCACCGTCGCATTCACCTGCCCTCACAGTCCAGATAGCAAACGATACCGACGTCGTTACTCTACCCCGGCGTAGGCAATGCAAAGCAGCGTTTTTACGTTACGTAGGGTAACCCTACGGTAGCCAAAGCAACCGCCGGTGGCCGAGAGTCCCTCTCAGGTGTCTCTCAGACGCCCCTCTCAAGTGACTCTCAGGTTACCCTCTCAGGTGTCTCTCAGGTGCCCATCTCAGGTGTCCATCTCGGGTGCCCCTTTCAGGTGCCCCACTCAGGTGTTTCTCAGGCGCCCATCTCAGGTGTTTCTCAGGCGCCCCTCTCAGGTATTTTCTCAGGGGGTCCCTCTCAGGCTTCTCTCAGCTGTCCCTTTCAGCTGCCCCTCTCAGGTGTCTCTCAGGTTCCCCTCTCAGGTGCCCATCCCAGGTGTCTCTCCAATGTCTCTCAGGTGCTTGCTTAGTACGACCATGCGAAGTCTGGTATGAAGCTCTGAGTGTCTCGGTCATGCATCAAGTGTAATGAAGCATGGGCTCATGCGAACGCGTGTGTGATGGCGTGTGTCTGCATTGAGTGTATGAGTGTATGTATATACATGCATACATATATCTATCTATATACATATTTATATTTATACATCTATGTGTTTAAACCCTGACACTTCGGTCACATATCTATATTGCTTCGTACCCGGTCCATGCGTCAGAACTATGTGGGTGGGCAGCAAGGTGGCCAGGTTCCCCCGGCAGCTGCTCCTGATGTTGCAGGGTGTTTTTGAGAATTCTCAAAAACTCCATGCGTCAGAGCTATGTGGGTGGGTAGCAATGTGGCCGTGTTCCCCCAGCCCGGCAGCTGCTCCTGCTGGGAAGCGAATGGCATGCTTTGCTTACCATCCAAGGCGCCTGTGTTTCCCTTGCCCGTGCTCCGGAGTTCTCGAGAGAAACCCCAATGTATGTGGGCAACAAGGTGGCCGCGTTCCCCCCTGCAGCTGCTCTGCTCCTAATGGCGTGCTCATGGCCCCACAGAAAACCTGAGAGAAACCCTGAGAGAAACCCTAAACCCAGTGTACCCCTGTTGCCTGCCCATGCGGTAGGGCTATGTGGGCCACAAGGCGGCCTTGTTCCTCCTGCAGCTGCTCTGATCCGAATGGCGTTCCCATGTTGGAACAGAAAACCCAACAGAGACACCTAAAGAAACTCCAACCCCAAACCCCTTGTACCCTGTTGGCTATGCGTGAATGCACCAGGGGTATGTGGGCAACAAGGCGGCGGTCTTCCCCCTGCAACTGCTGGGCTTCGATGTGGACCCCATCAATTCTGTGCAACTCTCCAACCACACTGGTGCGCATGTTGGTAACCACACTGGTGCGCATGTTGGTAACCACACTGGTGCGCATGTTGGTAACCACACTGGTGCGCATGTTGGTAACCACACTGGTGCGCATGTTGGTAACCACACTGGTGCGCATGTTGGTAACCACACTGGTGCGCATGTTGGTAACCACACTGGTGCGAATGTTGGTAACCAACCACACTGGTGCGCATGTTGGTAACCGCACTGGTGCGAATGTTGGTAACCGCACTGGTGCCAATAGTGGTAACGGCACTGGTGCGGGACCGGCGGTTGTCCATCCCATCTGGGTGCGTGCCTGCTGCCCCAGGGTCCATCACTCCTCCCACCTCACCACATGCCCCATGCATCTGTCCCATTCGTGCTGCTGCTGCAGGGTACCCCACGTGGAAGGGGCAGACACTGGACGGAGAGCAGTGCAGGTGTGGTTGGTGACAGAGGGGCACACCTCATGTGACTCGCACCATGCCCCCATGCACCCCACCCATCCCATCCATTCCCCAGGCTACCCCACGTAGAAGGGGCGGATACTGCCCCACGTGGAAGGGGAGGATACTGCCCCACGTGGAAGGGGCGGATACTGTACGAGGAGCAGCTGTGGGCAGTGAGAGAGGCGCATGCCTCATGCGGCTCCCAGCATGCCCCATGCATCGCTCCCATCCCGTGCGTGCAGGCTAGCCCACGTGGAAGGGGCAGATACTGAGTGGGGAGCAGCTGTGGGCGCTGATAGAGGGGCTGGGATAGCGCCTGTGCATCCTGAGCCTTGGAGCAGCAGCCTGGGTGCGTGCTGGGTGCATGCACCCTCAAGCAGCCTGGGTGCGTGCTGGGTGGATGCACCCTCTAGCAGCCTGGGTGCGTGCTGGGTGCATGCACCCTCTAGCAGCCTGGGTGCGTGCTGGGTGCATGCACCCTCTAGCAGCCTGGGTGCGTGCTGGGTGCATGCACCCTCTAGCAGCCTGGGTGCGTGCTGGGTGCATGCATGCACCCTCTAGCAGCCTGGGTGCGTGCTGGGTGCATGCACCGTCTAGCAGCCTGGGTGCGTGCTGGGTGCATGCACCCTCTAGCAGCCTGGGTGCGTGCTGGGTGCATGCACCCTCTAGCAGCCTGGGTGCGTGCTGGGTGCATGCACCCTCTAGCAGCCTGGGTGCGTGCTGGGTGGATGCACCCTCTAGCAGCCTGGGTGCGTGCTGGGTGCATGCACCCTCTAGCAGCCTGGGTGCGTGCTGGGTGCATGCACCCTCTAGCAGCCTGGGTGCGTGCTGGGTGCATGCACCCTCTAGCAGCCTGGGTGCGTGCTGGGTGCATGCACCCTCTAGCAGCCTGGGTGCGTGCTGGGTGCATGCACCCTCTAGCAGCCTGGGTGCGTGCTGGGTGCATGCACCCTCAAGCAGCCTGGGTGTGTGCTGGGTGCATGCACCCTCTAGCAGCCTGGGTGCGTGCTGGGTGCATGCACCCTCTAGCAGCCTGGGTGCGTGCTGGGTGCATGCACCCTCTAGCAGCCTGGGTGCGTGCTGGGTGGATGCACCCTCTAGCAGCCTGGGTGCGTGCTGGGTGCATGCACCCTCTAGCAGCCTGGGTGCGTGCTGGGTGCATGCACCCTCTAGCAGCCTGGGTGCGTGCTGGGTGCATGCACCCTCAAGCAGCCTGGGTGCGTGCTGGGTGCATGCACCCTCTAGCAGCCTGGGTGCGTGCTGGGTGCATGCACCCTCTAGCAGCCCGGGTGCGTGCTGGGTGCATGCACCCTCTAGCAGCCTGGGTGCGTGCTGGGTGCATGCACCCTCTAGCAGCCTGGGTGCGTGCTGGGTGCATGCACCCTCTAGCAGCCTGGGTGCGTGCTGGGTGCATGCATGCACCCTCTAGCAGCCTGGGTGCGTGCTGGGTGCATGTACCCTCTAGCAGCCTGGGTTCGTGCTGGGTGCATGCACCCTCTAGCAGCCTGGGTGCGTGCTAGGTGCATGCACCCTCTAGCAGCCTGGGTGCGTGCTGGGTGCATGCACCCTCTAGCAGCCTGGGTGCGTGCTGGGTGCATGCACCCTCTAGCAGCCTGGGTGCATGCTGGGTGCATGCACCCTCTAGCAGCCTGGGTGCGTGCTGGGTGCATGCATGCACCCTCTAGCAGCCTGGGTGCGTGCTGGGTGCATGCACCCTCTAGCAGCCTGGGTGCGTGCTGGGTGCATGCACCCTCTAGCAGCCTGGGTGCGTGCTGGGTGCATGCACCCTCTAGCAGCCTGGGTGCGTGCTGGGTGCATGCACCCTCTAGCAGCCTGGGTGCATGCTGGGTGCATGCACCCTCTAGCAGCCTGGGTGTGTGCTGGGTGCATGCACCCTCTAGCAGCCTGGGTGCGTGCTGGGTGCATGCACCCTCTAGCAGCCTGGGTGCGTGCTGGGTGCATGTACCCTCTAGCAGCCTGGGTTCGTGCTGGGTGCATGCACCCTCTAGCAGCCTGGGTGCGTGCTAGGTGCATGCACCCTCTAGCAGCCTGGGTGCGTGCTGGGTGCATGCACCCTCTAGCAGCCTGGGTGCGTGCTGGGTGCATGCACCCTCTAGCAGCCTGGGTGCATGCTGGGTGCATGCACCCTCTAGCAGCCTGGGTGCGTGCTGGGTGCATGCATGCACCCTCTAGCAGCCTGGGTGCGTGCTGGGTGCATGCACCCTCTAGCAGCCTGGGTGCGTGCTGGGTGCATGCACCCTCTAGCAGCCTGGGTGCGTGCTGGGTGCATGCACCCTCTAGCAGCCTGGGTGCGTGCTGGGTGCATGCACCCTCTAGCAGCCTGGGTGCATGCTGGGTGCATGCACCCTCTAGCAGCCTGGGTGCGTGCTGGGTGCATGCACCCTCTAGCAGCCTGGGTGCGTGCTGGGTGCATGCACCCTCTAGCAGCCTGGGTGTGTGCTGGGTGCATGCACCCTCCAGCAGCCTGGGTGCGTGCTGGGTGCATGCACCCTCTAGCAGCCTGGGTGCGTGCTGGGTGCATGCACCCTCCAGCAGCCTGGGTGCGTGCTGGGTGCATGCACCCTCTAGCAGCCTGGGTGCGTGCTGGGTGCATGCACCCTCTAGCAGCCTGGGTGCGTGCTGGGTGCATGCACCCTCTAGCAGCCTGGGTGCGTGCTGGGTGCATGCACCCTCCAGCAGCCTGGGTGCGTGCTGGGTGCATGCACCCTCTAGCAGCCTGGGTGCGTGCTGGGTGCATGCACCCTCTAGCAGCCTGGGTGCGTGCTGGGTGCATGCATCCTCTAGCAGCCTGGGTGCGTGCTGGGTGCATGCACCCTCTAGCAGCCTGGGTGTGTGCTGGGTGCATGCACCCTCTAGCAGCCTGGGTGCGTGCTGGGTGCATGCACCCTCTAGCAGCCTGGGTGTGTGCTGGGTGCATGCACCCTCTAGCAGCCTGGGTGTGTGCTGGGTGCATGCACCCTCTAGCAGCCTGGGTGCGTGCTGGGTGCATGCACCCTCTAGCAGCCTGGGTGTGTGCTGGGTGCATGCACCCTCTAGCAGCCTGGGTGTGTGCTGGGTGCATGCACCCTCTAGCAGCCTGGGTGTGTGCTGGGTGCATGCACCCTCTAGCAGCCTGGGTGCGTGCTGGGTGCATGCACCCTCTAGCAGCCTGGGTGCGTGCTGGGTGCATGCACCCTCTAGCCGCCTGGGTGTGTGCTGGGTGCATGCACCCTCTAGCAGCCTGGGTGCGTGCTGGGTGCATGCACCCTCTAGCAGCCTGGGTGTGTGCTGGGTGCATGCACCCTCTAGCAGCCTGGGTGTGTGCTGGGTGCATGCACCCTCTAGCAGCCTGGGTGCGTGCTGGGTGCATGCACCCTCTAGCAGCCTGGGTGTGTGCTGGGTGCATGCACCCTCTAGCAGCCTGGGTGTGTGCTGGGTGCATGCACCCTCTAGCAGCCTGGGTGTGTGCTGGGTGCATGCACCCTCTAGCAGCCTGGGTGCGTGCTGGGTGCATGCACCCTCTAGCAGCCTGGGTGTGTGCTGGGTGCATGCACCCTCTAGCAGCCTGGGTGCGTGCTGGGTGCATGCACCCTCTAGCAGCCTGGGTGCGTGCTGGGTGCATGCACCCTCTAGCAGCCTGGGTGTGTGCTGGGTGCATGCACCCTCTAGCAGCCTGGGTGTGTGCTGGGTGCATGCACCCTCTAGCAGCCTGGGTGTGTGCTGGGTGCATGCACCCTCTAGCAGCCTGGGTGTGTGCTGGGTGCATGCACCCTCTAGCAGCCTGGGTGTGTGCTGGGTGCATGCACCCTCTAGCAGCCTGGGTGCGTGCTGGTGCATGCACCCTCTAGCAGCCTGGGTGCGTGCTGCTGCTCCAGGGTCACCAGACGCGCGTGCTGCTGCTCAGTCCTCCCACCTCACCAGGACGCCCCAGTGCAGTTACCAACATGCGTGCTGTTGCAGGGCTACCCCACGTGGAAGGGGCGGATACTGGATGGGGAGGGGAGCAGAGCAGCTGTGGGCGCTGATAGAGGGGTGAGCGAAGGCGCGTGCCTGGCTGGCACGACGGGGCAGATCCTGGTAGGAGAGCAGAGGCGGTGTGGGCAGTGAGAGACGGGTACACCTCATGCGAATCCCACCACGTGCCGATGCATCATGGCCCATGCACCATGGCCCATGCGCCATGACCCATGCATCCCATCCCATTCTCCAGGCTACCCCACGTGGAAGGGGCAGATTCTGGATGGAGAGCAGCTGTGGGCGCTGATAGAGGGCCTGGAGGCCAATGGGCTGCTCTTCTACACGCACCTGCTCACCGGTGTGTGCACTTGTTGGTGGCGTGTGTGATGAAAGGAGCATGCATGTTGAGTCGACTCAAAAGAAGCTCAGATCGGTCAACCCCAAGCTGACACTGACGCACCATCATCCCAACCACTCACACCTCAATCTCGGTTGCATAATCAACCTCCCTCTTCTCTCCCCCTCCCATCAGGCTACATCGGGTCGCTCTCCTTCCTGAAAACTGTTCTACGGGTTGTGGAGAAGCTAAGATCAGTCAACCCCAACCTAATATATGGTACTTTCTGGGTTTACCCCAAGCTGATAATGGACGGTTATTCTTAGTTCACCCTGACTCTAGATACAATACTCCATGGGTTAGCCTTAGCCTGATATATGGTACTTTATGGGGTAACCCCCATTCTGATATACGGTACTTTATGGGGTAACCCCCATTCTGATACATGGTACTGTATTGAGTAACCCCCATTCTGATATATGGTACTTTATAGGGTAAACCCAATTCTCATAAATGGTATTTTATGGGTAACCCCCCATCCTGATAAACGGTACTTTATGGGGTAACCCCCATTCTGATACATGGTACTGTATGGTATGGAGTAACCCCCATTCTGATATATGGTACTTTATGGGTAATCCCCATGCTGATACATGGTAATTTATGGAGTAACCCTCATTCTGATATATGGTATTTTATGGGTAACCCCCATTCTGATACATGGTACTTTATGGGGTAACCCGATTCTCATATCTGGTACTTTATGTGGTAACCCCCATTCTGATTACATGGTACTTTATGGTCCTCCTGTCCCCATCTGTCTCGTCTTTACCCCCGGTCCTCTCCTGTCCCCAGTTTCTTTACACTTTCTCCTTATTCTTCTTGCGTCCTCACCTCTCTTGGTGTGTTTTGAAGTGCAATCTTGGTGTGATGTGATCCCGCAATCTTCTCCTCCCTATGTGCGGTCTAGTCATGCTGCTGCTGCTTTTTCTCGCATCTACCCATCTCTCTGCCCGTCCTCCGCTTGTCTCACATCCCCACATCGATCGAATGGGCTTGTCTCACAAAGGCTGCCTCCATCCGCATCGCTGCTTCCCTTTCCATCTTCTCTCCATACCACCTCTCTTCTCCTCACCGTAATGGACCTCTCAAAGGCCTGCTGCCTGCTCCCCTCTCTCCCCCTCACCCATTCTCTGCCTCCCATCCCTCTCCAGTTTCCTTCCTCGCCCAATCTCTCTCCCCCAATGTCTCCTCCCCATCCCTTCTCTCCCCGTCACAGTGTGCGATCCAGTGATGGGGGACGACGGTCGTCTCTACATTCGCCCCGAGCTCGTCCCCATCTACCGCCACCAGGTGCCACCTCCTCTTGCCGTAAGCGTGTTCTGCGAGGTCTCACAAAACCGCCAGCAGGTGCCACTCACACCTGTTCCTTTGAGAGCCACATCCACGTGTTCACATCCACGTGTTCACATCCACGTGCCACCTCCTCTCGCTGTATTGTGTTCTGTCTGAAAGGAACCGACAGCAGGTGTCGTGTCGTGACATCCACGCCTGCCCTATTCATGCCTTGAAAGTGCTATGCAAATTCTCAGAAACGCCTGCAGTTGCCATCTGTCTCACAGAACTGACACCAGGTGCCATGCCATTCGCACCAGCCCTGTTCATGCTGTGAGTTTGATTTGAGAATACAAAAAAAAAAAAACCAACGCATCAAGTGCCCTTGACACCTGCCCTGCACACCTGCCCTACACACCTGCCCTCTATGCGTCTCTCTGTGATGAATCTAACTACCCTATTGTTGGGTGTGCGCCTTCCCTCAACGCGGCATCCATCTAGCAGCTGACAGACAGACAACCAATCTCTCAACATCTGTGTATCGTTCTGGGCTCTCATCCCCGTTGCTCAGTGCGTGCTGCTGTGCTGCATGGCAGGTGGTCCCAGTGGCGACGCTCATCACGCCAAACCAATTCGAAGCAGAGCAGCTCACAGGCCTCAGGTGAATGGCTCGGTACTCTACCAGGTTCCTACTTAGCAACTTGTTCTTTGCATTATGTTGCGCTCAGGTTTGAAGTGGATTGGTGCGATGAGAGTCTCTCAACTGCTTTGAGGTACAGCAAATCACAGGCCTCACAACCCTGAGCAGGTCTTAACTCAAAGGCTTCAGGTGAATTGATATGCTCTTGCTACCTGCTCCTCTCCTCGCCTTGTTCTCCTTACCTTGCTGAGAATCATAAATGTCGATATTGATGACTCAAAAAGCATATCTGATCCGGCATTTGTTTTGCCGTGCTGTGCTGTGCCGTGCCGTGCCGTGCCGTGCCGTGCCGTGCCGTGCCGTGCCGTGCCGTGCCGTGCCGTGCCGTGCCGTGCCGTGCTGTGCTGTGCTGTGCTGTGCTGTGACCTGCATCCAATCACAGACTTCAATCTATAGGTGCCACAACACTCGCCCACTCACTAACCAAACTCCCTGCACACGTGGCGTTTAGGCATTGCCAGTCCAAACTCACTGCTTCCCTCCCCCCCTCCCTCCCAGCGGCCAAACTAAGCAGCTGCCATCACTGCATGAGACATGCTGCATGTTGCAGGGCCCAGGAAGGTGAATGTGCATGGCATTGCCACAGGGGGGAGCGAATGTAGAATTGCTGATACTGGCACTGTTGAGGCGCCTCAAAAGTCTGATACAAGCACTGCATGTGCACCCCTTCTCCCCTCCATTTCCATCCTCCCCTGCCTCCTTCCCTCCCTCGCAGCATCCGGACTCAAGCAGACGCCATCACTGCATGTGACATGCTGCACGCAGCAGGGCCCAGAAAGGTATGGATGGCTACAGGGGAGGAAGAACAGTGGGTAGGTAGGTGAGGGGGACTTTTGAGACGTCTCAAAAGTCGTCTACTTACACACGTAGGTAGGTGAGGGGGACTTTCTGGAATCTCTTTAGTGGTTCGAACAAACGTGTGGCAGTGGATTAGCATGATGCTTGATGCTGCAGGGCTTAGAAAGGTATGCGTGGCTACAGGGGAGGAAGGACAGTGGTCTAGGGAGTTTCGGGGATTTCAAAAGTGTTTTGAATGCAAGTATGATAACGGTGTGGATGGGTATGATGTTGCCCGCTGTATGGCCCAGAAAGGTATCGCATTGAGTCGGTTCAGATCATCTAAGCTTATTAGGGGGTGGGGTTGGGGGAAGGAGGAGGGGGAGGGGGGAAGGGGGGGAGGGGAGAGGGAGAGAAAAGACAGCCCTGCTGAGGATGGCATGGTGGGCGTGCTGACGTCATGGTTTGCTTGCTGGCGTTCCGTTGCTGCTGCGAGAGGGGAAGGACAATCCACGAGTTTTCTGGCCGAATTGATTTACCAGCAACGGCTGAATTGATTTACCCAGTAACAACTCCTCACGATCCATGAGGTGGTGATGGTAAGGCATGCGGATGAAGGAGCAGGAGGGTGAAGAAACGCCTCTTTCAACTCCTCTCAACCACTGTCACACACCCCACAACACTCCTATCAGGTGATGGCCGGCTGCTGGTGGTGGAGGGGTGATGTCCCACGAAGCACTCTTGCCTCTCTAGAACCTGCTCAACCCCTTTCAACCTCTTTCAATCACATTGATTTATTGTGGACACCACACAACAAGCTGATCAGGTGGTGCTCACGAGCACTGAGGTAAATGGCCAGCTGGTGGTGGTGGAGGGGAGTGTGCCTTGATAAGTAGCGCATCTCTCAAGCCCACTCCACTGCATTCAACCACTTTCAACCGCTCTCATCTACTGGTGATCATTAGCAACGCTCCCAGCTGGTGATGGCGGAGGGGATTGGTTTTGCATGGGCAAGGCCCTCTCTTAAACCTGCTCCATCCCTTTCAACCGCTTTCAACCACTCCGTTCAGGTGGTGATCACAAGCATGGAGGTGGATGGGCGGCTGCTGGTAGTGGGGAGTGACGCCAGCAGCCCTGCTGGAGAGGAGGTGAGTGAGGTGAGGCGGCATGAGGGTATCTGTCTGGTGGTGGAGGTGTGCTTTGAGTCACCAGGTGTCCAACCACTCAATCACATCTGCTTGGCGTGACGCCAGCAGCCATGCTGCAGAGCAGGTGAGTGAGAAGGCATGGGGAGCTGGTGGTAGGTGAGAGGAAGTGAGTGAGAGGAAATGAGTGAGAGGCAGTGAGTGAGAGGAAATGAGTGAGAGGAAGTGAGTGAGAGGAAATGAGTGAGAGGAAGTGAGTGAGAGGAAATGAGTGAGAGGAAGTGAGTGAGAGGAAATGAGTGAGAGGAAGTGAGTGAGAGGAAATGAGTGAGAGGAGGTGAGTGAGAGGAAATGAGTGAGAGGAGGTGAGTGAGAGGAAATGAGTGAGAGGAGGTGAGTGAGAGGAAGAGGAGTGTCTTTCTGGTAGTTGGGGTGCGTTTCGAGTCGACTCAGAGAAGTGGTGCCAGCAGCCCTGCTGCAGAGCAGGAGAGAGATATGGGCCCCCTTGTCTTGACAATGGAAAGCAGATATCTGTTTTGCTTCAATTTCTTTCTATCACTCATTATCCTCTTTGTTTGCACCAGCCATTGCCACCCTCACATACACTACCCTATCTTACTCCCTTTCCAATTCTGACATTCTGGCCGGCATTTGAACAAACACTCTATTCAGGAGGGCTCTGAACAGCGTTCTTTGCAGCGGTTCTGCATCGCAGTGCCCAAGATACCACACTACTTTACTGTATGGCGCTCCATTAATAGCTTTGAAGCAGCACGTGGCACATGGTTATGCAATCTGTCTCACACTTTCTGTGCCTCTTACCATGTCCCGTGTCCCACACAGCACCAGCTTTACAACATCACATATCACCAGCCTTACAACATCACATATCACCAGCCTTACATCATCACATATCACCAGCCTTACATCATCACACATCACCAGCCTTACAACATCACATATCACCAGCCTTACATCATCACATATCACCAGCCTTACATCATCACATATCACCAGCCTTACATCATCACATATCACCAGCCTTACATCATCACATATCACCAGCCTTACATCATCACACATCACGCATCACCAGCCTCACAACATGCCATTTTCACATGGATTTCGACGTGCTACTCCGCATGCCATTGCATATACCACACCAAATGCCATCTGACATACCATATCACATGCCATTGCATATACCACACCACATGCCATTTGACATACTACCATGTCACATGCCTGACATATCCCATCCAACGTACCATACCACATGCCATCCCACGTGAACGGCACACGTGCAGGGAACGGGAGATTTGATGACCGCATTGCTGCTTGGATGGTCACATGTGAGTGGGGCAGTGGCATGTGAGTGGGGCAGTGGCATGGCAGGAGTCTCATTGCATCGCAATCCTTCATCAGTCTTCTGGTGACATCTCTCAGCTCTGTTACACAGCACTCTGGTGCTTACATAGCACTCTGATGCTTACATAGCACTCTACTGCTTACACAGCACTCTGCTGCTTACACAGCACTCTGCTGCTTACATAGCACTCTGCTGCTTACACAGCACTCTGCTGCTTACATAGCACTCTGCTGCTTACACAGCACTCTGCTGCTTACACAGCACTCTGCTGCTTACATAGCACTCTGCTGCTCACATAGCACTCTGCTGCTTACATAGCACTCTGCTGCTCACATAGCACTCTGCTGCTTACATAGCACTCTGCTGCTGACATAGCACTCTGCTGCTTACACAGCACTCTGCTGCTTACATAGCACTCTGCTGCTTACAGAGCACTCTGCTGCTTACATAGCACTCTGCTGCTTACACAGCACTCTGCTGCTTACACAGCACTCTGCTGCTTACACAGCACTCTGCTGCTTACATAGCACTCTGCTGCTTACACAGCACTCTGCTGCTTACATAGCACTCTGCTGCTTACACAGCACTCTGCTGCTTACAGAGCACTCTGCTGCTCACATAGCACTCTGCTGCTTACATAGCACTCTGCTGCTTACATAGCACTCTGCTGCTTGCATAGCACTCTGCTGCTTACATAGCACTCTGCTGCTTACATAGCACTCTGCTGCTTACACAGCACTCTGCTGCTTACACAGCACTCTGCTGCTTACATAGCACTCTGCTGCTTACATAGCACTCTGCTGCTTACATAGCACTCTGCTGCTTACATAGCACTCTGCTGCTTACATAGCACTCTGCTGCTTACACAGCACTCTGCTGCTTACATAGCACTCTGCTGCTTACAGAGCACTCTGCTGCTTACATAGCACTCTGCTGCTTACATAGCACTCTGCTGCTTACATAGCACTCTGCTGCTTACATAGCACTCTGCTGCTTACATAGCACTCTGCTGCTTACATAGCACTCTGCTGCTTACATAGCACTCTGCTGCTTACACAGCACTCTGCTGCTTACAGAGCACTCTGCTGCTCACATAGCACTCTGCTGCTTACATAGCACTCTGCTGCTTACATAGCACTCTGCTGCTTACATAGCACTCTGCTGCTTACATAGCACTCTGCTGCTGTACATAGCACTCTGCTACTTACACAGCACTCTGCTGCTTACAC